TGCCGCTCTAGGTGCTAGTGCGTCCGCTGCCCCAGGTCCTGGTGAGACAACTGCTCTAGGTGCAGGTGTGTCTGCTGCCCCAGGTGCTTGTGAGGCTGCGCCTTCAGGTACAGCGTCTACTGCGGCACTGCACACCTTCACCCTGGACTCAGGTGCTTCCCGCTGTTTCTTTCGCGACCGCACTGCCCTCGAGCAGCTTCCTAGACCGGTTGCTGTCTCCCTGGCTGACCCCTCCGGGGGTCCGGTTCTTGCGACCTCCTCCACTGTCCTCCCGTGTCCTGCGGTCCCGTCTGGCACCCTGTCAGGTCTTTACCTCCCCTCGTTCTCTACGAACTTGGTGGCGGGCTCTGCTCTACAGGACGGGGGTGTTCACCAGTTCACCCCTGCCTATGAGCGTGTGACCCACTGTACGTGTGCCCGGACGGGTCGCCACCTTGCTACCTTCACTAGGGAGCCGGGGTCGGACTTGTACACACTGACCACTGAGTCCCCTCAGGTCGCTGCGTCTGCGTCTGCGTCAGGTCAGCTGTCGGCCCCCTGCTTGTGTCGCTCCCTGTCCCACCAGACTGTCCTCTGGCACCACCGCCTTGGTCACCCGTCAGTGCAGCGCCTTCGCGGCATGCACCGTCGCCTCCTTGTCTCTGGTCTTCCCCGGGTTCTCCCTCCCCTCCCACCCTCGCCTGCGCCTCCCTGTCTTCCCTGTGTCGAGGGGCGGCAGCGCGCCGCTCCTCACTCCTCCGAGTTTCCCCCGACAGAGGCTCCTCTGCAGACACTCCACATGGACGTGTGGGGCCCCGCCCGCGTCCGTGGACAGGGCGGGGAGCGCTACTTTCTGCTGGTAGTTGACGACTACACGCGTTACACCACGGTCTTCCCCTTGCGCACCAAGGGTGAGGTCCCTGATGTCTTGATCCCTTGGATCCGCACTACCCGTCTCCAGCTGGAGAGGCGCTTTCGCTCGGACCTTCCAGTCCTGCGACTGCACTCTGATAGAGGTGGTGAGTTTTCCTCCGACCTCTTGAGAGCCTTCTGTCAGGGGGAGGGCATTGAGCAGACGTTCACGCTTCCAGCCTCTCCGCAGCAGAATGGGGTTGCTGAGCGCCGCATTGGCCTGGTCATGGAGGTCGCTCGTACCTCCTTGGTCCATGCGGCTGCCCCCCACTTTCTGTGGCCGTTTGCGGTACGGTACGCCGCGCATCAGCTCAACCTCTGGCCCCGTGTCTCTGACCCGGACACCTCGCCGACACTGCGTTGGACGGGAGAGGTTGGCGATGCGTCGGTGTTTCGAGTCTGGGGATCTCGTGCCTTTGTCCGCGATGCGTCCGCGGACAAGCTCTCCTCCCGTACCCTCCCCTGTGTCTTCCTTGGCTTTGTCCCTGACGCGTCTGGCTGGCAGTTTTACCACCCTGCCTCGCGCCGTGTCTTCCCTTCTCAGGACGTCACGTTTGACGAGTCGGTCCCCTTCTACCGTCTCTTCCCCTACCGCACTGCCCCGCTCCCCCCTCCGCCGCTCTTCCTCACTCCAGGTGCTGCTGTGGTAGACCCCCTGCCTCCCCAGGGTCCTGCAACCTCAGGTGTTTCCCAGGTAGACCCGGTCGAGCCTGTCGAGGTAGCTGTCGACTCTGGTCCTGCGCGAGGTACTGAGCCTGAGCGTGCCGAGCCTGGTGGTGCTGGGTCTGGTGGTACCGAGACTGGGGGTGCTGCGCCTGGGGGTGCTGACACTGGGGGTACTGAGCCTGGGGGTGCTGTGCCTGGGGTTACTGAGCCTGGGGGTGCTGCGCCTAGAGGCACTCTTTCTTCCTTGGAGCTGCGTGAGTGGTACTCTCGGTACTGCCGCCGCCACAGTGGTACTGTGGGAGCTGGGAGTACTGTTGACACTGGAGCTGAGGGCGCTGGAGCTCCTGGTGCTGGTGTGGCTGCCGACCCTGGGGTTGGCGCTGGAGGTGCTGGAGCTGCTGGGCCTGGAGGTGCTGCTGGAGCTACTGGAGGAGCGAGTGCTGCTGGAGCTGGAGGTGCAGGTGCTGACGGTGCTGCTAGAGCTGGTGCTGAGTCTGGGGGTGTTGCTGCTGGGGACACTTCGACAGGAGACCCTGGGACTACAGGTGCCGGCTCTGGGGGTGCTCCTGCTAGTGACGCTGGTCCTGGAGGTGCTGGAGCTGCTGGAGGTGGTGGAGCTGCTGGTGCTGGGGGCACTGCGCAGCCACGACTGTTCTTTGCTCCGCCGTCTCCATCGTCTCTGCCACCGCCTGACGCTGCTCTTCGTCAGGTTCTTACCCTTCCGTCGTCTACTGGTCTTCCATTACAGCCTGGCTCACCACTGCCTGCCCCTTCTCCTTACACTGAGCAGACAGGAGGTCTTGCTGAGCGTCGTGAGCCTGCGTCTCGTCCTGCGTCGCCCGTTCGCACTGCTCGCACTAGTCCTCGTGTCCCACGTCCGCGTCCTCCTCCTGTCCCTGGCACGCACCAGATGACACTTCGTCCGTCCACTGCTCCACTGCGTGTTCCACTGCCGTCCCCCCCTGCGTCTTCTCTGCCTGACGTTCCAGACCCTGAGTCTGACCGTGTACGTGCTGCTCACCCTACTGTCACGCGTCTCCTGGCCACTGTTGTCACTGACCCTTCCTTTGAGTCCGCTGCTGCGTCTGCCTTAGTTGCTGAGCTTGTCGACTTTGCTGCTCACTGTCGTCTAGACTACGCCGCGAGTCTAGTTGCTGAGTCTGAGTCTGTCTGTCCTCCGTCCGTCGGGGGTGAGTGTGCTCTTGGCACGGACGTCCTTGAGGACAGGCAGGAGGAGTTTGAGTGCTTTGCCGCTGCTGTACCTCATCTCGTGTCCATGCTGATTGCACCTGAGGGAGACCCGGATGCACCAGACATCCCGACCCCGCGCTCTTACGCTGAGGCGATCGCGGGTGAGTACTCCTCTCAGTGGCAGACAGCCATGGACGCAGAGATGGCATCCTGGAAGTCCACTGGCACTTACGTCGACGAGGTTCCCCCTCCTGGGGCGAACATCGTCAGTGGCATGTGGATTTTCAGGGTGAAGCGGCCGTCAGGTTCTCCGCCTGTCTTCAAGGCTCGTTACGTTGCTCGAGGCTTCAGTCAGCGAGAGGGAGTAGACTTCTTCCAGACCTTCTCCCCCACCCCGAAGATGACCACTCTTCGGGTGCTGCTGCACGTTGCCGCTCACCGTGACTACGAGCTTCACTCTCTTGACTTCAGCACAGCTTTCTTGCAGGGCAGCCTGCACGAGGAGATCTGGCTGCGCCGCCCCCTGGGCTTCACTGGGTCGTTCCCTCCTGGTACCCAGTGGAGCCTCCGGCGGCCAGTCTACGGTCTCCGCCAGGCGCCTCGTGAGTGGCACGAAACACTGAGGACTACACTTGCGGCACTTGGGTTTGCTCCCTCCACAGCTGACCCGTCGCTGTTTCTGCGCACCGACACTTCACTGCCGCCGTTCTACATCCTCGTGTACGTCGACGACTTGGTGTTTGCCACTGCGGACACTGAGGCTCTCGCCCACGTGAAGTCGGAGCTGCAGAAGAGACACACGTGCACAGACTTGGGTGAGCTGCGCAGCTACCTTGGCTTGCAGATCACCCGGGACAGAGCACGCCGCACCATCACCCTGACTCAGTCACACATGGTGCAGCAGGTCCTTCAGCGCTTCGGCTTCACCTGGTCCTCAGCACAGGCCACTCCTCTGGCTATAGGTCACTCGCTCTCAGCTCCACCTTCGGACGAGTCCGTAGAGCCGAGTGGTCCTTACCCAGAGCTAGTTGGCTGCCTCATGTACCTGATGACTTGCACTCGTCCTGACCTCGCGTACCCTCTTGGTCTTCTGGCTCGCTACGTGGCTCCTGGTCGGCACCGACCTGAGCACATGGCTGCTGCTAAGAGGGTACTGCGCTACTTGTGCAGCACATCAGGCATGGGGCTAGTGCTTGGAGGGACGAGCCCAGTTGTTCTCACTGGGCACTCAGACGCTTCTTGGGTTGACGACCAGGCTACTCAGCGGTCGTCACAGGGTTACACCTTCAGCCTTGGCTCTGGTTCAGTTTCGTGGCGTTCTACACGCTCGTCTTCAGTTCTCAGCTCCAGTTGTGAGGCTGAGATCTACGCCACAGCCATGGCTGCACAGGAGTTGCGCTGGCTCACCTACCTACTGACTGACTTGGGAGAGCAGCCTCGTTCTCCTCCAGTGCTGTACGTCGACAACAAGGCCGCCATTGCCTTGTGTGAGGAGCACAGACTGGAGCACAGAACAAAGCACATCGCTCTGCGTTACTTCCTGGCTCGAGAGCTGCAGCAGCGTGGTCAGCTTCGTCTGCGTCACGTGGCCACTCGGGCCAACACTGCTGATATATTCACTAAGGCGCTTCCGTCTGGTGATCATCAGCGTTTCTGCACTTTGCTAGGGCTTGTGCCCACATTTCCTCACTTGCTGTAGGCCTTGCTTGTACTGTGATCTATATATATATATATATATATATATATATATATATATATATATATATATATATATATATATATATATATATATATATATATATATACGTGCATGTTTGCATTGCTAGGTAGAGATCACTGTGCTGTTCTTGCTGCTTATATACCTCTGCATGTGGACTGGCCTTGTGGCCGTTTGTTTGTGCTCAGTGTGTGTGGTGACGTTGTGATCCACCCTGAGCCGTGTTTTGTTTCTTCTCTTGACTGGTCTTGTGACCATTGCTTGCTCTGGCTATCCCCCATTTCGCCTATGGGGGTGTGTCAAAACATATGCATGTTAGTATCTAGGCTATATTGGGGCTAGCCTTAAGGGGTACAGAAACTCACTCGACACTCTAGTCTTGTACCCCAACCTCCACCTAATCACACATACTCTTCTCATTCTAACATCACATCCACAAAATACGGTAGGCACCCTATTCACAAGTGTCGGTACATGCAGACACACTAGCCAAAGCAAGTTGTGGCAGGGACACCTCTAAATGGAAATGCTGCGACTACTTAATTTTAGGCCTCTTCAAGGAAGAAAGATTTGAGCCAGGGTAGGAGAAGAGCCGAACAGCATTGGCGAATGCTGCTTCTGCTACCTCTTTCTTGGACCTGCCCATGCTGCTCGCCACCATCTCACACACCTGCATGGGGGCAGGGGGGAAAAGACAAGGGGAGAAAGGTGGGAGGAGAAAGAAGGGAAAGGGGAGAAAGTAGACGGGACAAGCCAGAAGGGAATAGGGAAGGCGACATGGGAGGGATAAAAGAGGCGACTAGAGCCATATCTGACGGTGATTGTGTCATGCGTGAGTGTTAACCATGCACGAGTGTGTGTCATGTGGGATGGCAGTGTGTGGCATGCGTAAGTGTGTGAGTGTGCCTCATCAACAGTGCGCTCTCACCAGGCCAATGGTAGCTGGTGAGTTCAAGCCCGAATCATCGCCACTGCCCTCCACCTCTCCCCTGCCTTCTTCCTCTGCCTCTCCCGACCCTCTCTCTGCCCTTTCCTCATCTCTTTCCCCCCCTCCCTCCATCCCTCTCTCCTGTCCTCTCTCCTCTCCTCCCCCCTCTCCTCTCTCCCCTTCCATGCCGCACCTCTCGCCACCTCCACTCTCTCCGCGTTGCTGGGCTTCAGAATGAGACTCCCTCCTCCTGCACCCCTCCCTCCCCCCTTTCCCTGCCTTCTCCTCCCCTCCCCCCCCCTTTCCGGTCCTGCCTCCTTCCCCCTTCCGCCTGGCAGGGGGGAGGCCGTCAGGTGAGTCTGTTTCCAGTAGGAGGCGATCTAGAGGCACCTGGAGGGGGGTGAACGGAGGGGAAAGAGTGGGTGAGACGAGATGCAGCAACCGAATAACGGACGGGTCAGGCATGTGGGAATTTGTGAGGAGCATACCTGGTGCAGCAGGTGTGCGAGCTTGTGGGGGGCCGAGGAGGCAGAGAGGCGGGAGATGGAGAAGTAAGCTTTGAGAGAAACGAGCGCTGGGAGCAGTGTAATAGGCATGCCTGGTGCAGCAGGTGCGCGAGGCATACCTGGTGCAGCAGGTGCGCGAGGCATACCTGGCGCAGAAGGTGTGCGAGCTTGTGGGGGGGCGAGGAGGCAGAAAGGCGGGAGAAGGAGAAGAAGGCGTTGAGAGAGGTGAGGGCTGGGAGCATTTCTGGAGGGCCGTTGAATGAATGCAGAACGACTCCTGCTGGAAATGGGCCGTTCTGTGAGGAGGGAAGGAGGCGGGGAGGGAAGGAGACAGAGAGGTTAAGAGGGCTGGGAGGGGGAGAGGTGGAGTGCTGGGTTGCTGAAGGATGCTCATGCTGATGCTGATGCTGATGCTCATGCTGATGCTGATGCTGATGCTGATGCGCTGATGCTGATGCTGATGCTGATGCTGATGCTGATGCTGATGCTGATGCGCTGATGCTGATGATGATGCTGATGCTGATGCTGATGCTGATGATGATGCTGATGCTGATGCTGATGCTGATGCTGATGCTGATGCTGATGCACTGATGCTGATGCTGATGCTGATGCGCTGATGCTGATGCTGATGCTGATGCGCTGATGCTGATGCTGATGCGCTGATGCTGATACTGATGCTGATGCTGATGCTGATGCTGATGCTGATGCGCTGATGCTGATGCTGATGCTGATACTGATGCTGATGTGCTGATGCTGATGCTGATGCTGATGCGCTGATGCTGATGCGCTGATGCTGATGCTGATGCGCTGATGCTGATGCTGATGCTGATGCTGATGTGCTGATGCTGATGCTGATGCGCTGATGCTGATGCGCTGATGCTGATGCTGATGCGCTGATGCTGATGCGCTGATGCTGATGCTGATGCTGATGCGCTGATGCTGATGCTGATGCGCTGATGCTGATGCTGATGCTGATGCGCTGATGCTGATGCTGATGCTGATGCGCTGATGCTGATGCTGATGCTGATGCGCTGATGCTGATGCTGATGCGCTGATGCTGATGCTGATGCGCTGATGCTGATGCTGATGCTGATGCGCTGATGCTGATGCTGATGCGCTGATGCTGATGCTGATGCGCTGATGCTGATGCTGATGCGCTGATGCTGATGCTGATGCTGATGATGATGCTGATGCTGATGCTGATGCTGATGTGCTGATGCTGATGCGCTGATGCTGATGCTGATGCGCTGATGCTGATGCTGATGCTGATGCTGATGCTGATGCTGATGTGCTGATGCTGATGCTGATGCTGATGCGCTGATGCTGATGCTGATGCGCTGATGCTGATACTGATGCTGATGCTGATGCTGATGCTGATGCGCTGATGCTGATGCTGATGCTGATGCTGATGCGCTGATGCTGATGCTGATGCGCTGATGCTGATGCTGATGCGCTGATGCTGATGCTGATGCGCTGATGCTGATGCTGATGCTGATGATGATGCTGATGCTGATGCTGATGCTGATGTGCTGATGCTGATGCGCTGATGCTGATGCTGATGCGCTGATGCTGATGCTGATGCTGATGCTGATGTGCTGATGCTGATGCTGATGCTGATGCGCTGATGCTGATGCTGATGCGCTGATGCTGATGCTGATGCGCTGATGCTGATACTGATGCTGATGCTGATGCTGATGCGCTGATGCTGATGCTGATGCGCTGATGCTGATGCTGATGCGCTGATGCTGATGCGCTGATGCGCTGATGCTGATGCTGATGCTGATGCGCTGATGCTGATGCTGATGCGCTGATGCTGATGCTGATGCTGATGCTGATGCACTGATGCTGATGCTGATGCTGATGCTGATGCTGATGCTGATGCTTATGCTGATGCTGATGCTGATGCGCTGATGCTGATGCTGATGCTGATGCGCTGATGCTGATGCTGATGCGCTGATGCTGATGCTGATGCGCTGATGCTGATGCTGATGCGCTGATGCTGATGCTGATGCGCTGATGCTGATGCTGATGCGCTGATGCTGATGCTGATGCGCTGATGCTGATGCTGATGCGCTGATGCTGATGCTGATGCGCTGATGCTGATGCTGATGCGCTGATGCTGATGCTGATGCGCTGATGCTGATGCTGATGCTGATGCGCTGATGCTGATGCTGATGCGCTGATGCTGATGCTGATGCGCTGATGCTGATGCTGATGCGCTGATGCTGATGCTGATGCTGATGCGCTGATGCTGATGCTGATGCGCTGATGCTGATGCTGATGCGCTGATGCTGATGCTGATGCGCTGATGCTGATGCTGATGCGCTGATGCTGATGCTGATGCGCTGATGCTGATGCTGATGCGCTGATGCTGATGCTGATGCGCTGATGCTGATGCGCTGATGCGCTGATGCTGATGCGCTGATGCTGATGCGCTGATGCTGATGCGCTGATGCGCTGATGCGCTGATGCTGATGCTGATGCGCTGATGCTGATGCTGATGCGCTGATGCTGATGCTGATGCTGATGCGCTGATGCTGATGCTGATGCGCTGATGCTGATGCTGATGCGCTGATGCTGATGCTGATGCGCTGATGCTGATGCTGATGCGCTGATGCTGATGCTGATGCTGATGCGCTGATGCTGATGCTGATGCGCTGATGCTGATGCTGATGCGCTGATGCTGATGCTGATGCGCTGATGCTGATGCTGATGCGCTGATGCTGATGCTGATGCTGATGATGATGCTGATGCTGATGCTGATGCTGATGTGCTGATGCTGATGCGCTGATGCTGATGCTGATGCGCTGATGCTGATGCTGATGCTGATGTGCTGATGCTGATGCTGATGCGCTGATGCGCTGATGCTGATGCTGATGCGCTGATGCTGATACTGATGCTGATGCTGATGCTGATGCGCTGATGCTGATGCTGATGCGCTGATGCTGATGCTGATGCGCTGATGCTGATGCGCTGATGCGCTGATGCTGATGCTGATGCTGATGCGCTGATGCTGATGCTGATGCGCTGATGCTGATGCGCTGATGCTGATGCTGATGCTGATGCTGATGCTGATGCGCTGATGCTGATGCTGATGCGCTGATGCTGATGCTGATGCGCTGATGCTGATGCTGATGCGCTGATGCTGATGCTGATGCGCTGATGCTGATGCTGATGCGCTGATGCTGATGCTGATGCGCTGATGCTGATGCTGATGCGCTGATGCTGATGCTGATGCTGATGCGCTGATGCTGATGCTGATGCGCTGATGCTGATGCTGATGCGCTGATGCTGATGCTGATGCGCTGATGCTGATGCTGATGCGCTGATGCTGATGCTGATGCGCTGATGCTGATGCTGATGCGCTGATGCTGATGCTGATGCTGATGCGCTGATGCTGATGCTGATGCGCTGATGCTGATGCTGATGCGCTGATGCTGATGCTGATGCGCTGATGCTGATGCGCTGATGCGCTGATGCTGATGCGCTGATGCTGATGCGCTGATGCTGATGCGCTGATGCTGATGCTGATGCGCTGATGCGCTGATGCTGATGCTGATGCTGCGTTGCTCGCCCGCTCACACGCTGCACCGCCCGCTCGTACGCTGCACCGCACGCTCATGCACTGCATCTGAATAGGGGAAGTATGCATAGAGGGCCGTTGAAGGAATCTCTTCTACTGAAATGGACCATGCTGTGGGGAGGAAGTGTAGTGGAGGTGAAGAGAGGCCGTGAAGAGTGTAAGTTCTCGCCCATCCTTTCCAAAATCCGCTACCACGAACACCCACATGCATGAACTGCCATACCTGTTGCAGTTCCGTACCTGCTGCAGGGCTGTGAGCATGTGACCATACGCCTGAACGCAGTGCAGGGCAATGGGGCGGTGCAAGCGGCGGGCCAGCTTTAGCTGATCGCACATCACTGCCACCTGCTCCTCCATCGCTGCTCCTCTGCTGCTGCTGCTGCTGCTGCTGCTGCTGCTGCTGCTGCTGCTGGCTTTCCTGCTACGATGCAAGCCTGCCTGGGAGGAGTGGGTTGAGGTGCAGGGCAGGCGGAAAAACAAGGAGAGGTTTGGCGCTTCACAGCAGTGCAAGCGGCGGGCCAGCTTTAGCTGCTCACACATCACCGATACCTGCTCCTCCATCGCTGCTCCCCTGCTGCCGCTACCGCTGCTGGCTTTCCTGCTACGATGCAAGCCTGCCTGGGGGGAGGTGGAAGAGACGAAGATCGGATTCCTCTTGACTTTTGAGTCGACTCAAAAGTCAGGTCGGGATTCCTCTTGAAAAACCCAGAAATGCTGACATTCGTTCTCCTCCCCCTTGCCCCAAATATATTACCCCCCTCTCCCCCCTTCCCCTCTCGCCAAATTGACGACGCACCTCGCCCATGGCGGCGTGGGGATGGGCGGAGAGGCGCTGCTCAAGGTGCTGAAGCCAGTGGGGCGAGCGAGAGTCGATGTACCTGCGGGCATGGGGCATGGGGGGGGGCCAATGGGATGGGGCATGGGGGGGGGGCCAATGGGATGGGGCATGGGGGGGGTCCAATGGGATGGGGCATGGGGGGGGCCCAATGGGATGGGGCATGGGGGGGGGGCCAATGGGATGGGGCATGGGGGGGGGGCCAATGGGATGGGGCATGGGGGCATGCGGGCATGGAATGGGGAGAGGCGCTGCTCAAGGTGCTGTAGCCAGTGGGGCGAGCGAGACTCGACGTACCTGCGGGCATGGGGGCATGGCCGCATGAGGCATGGGCGCATGGGGCATGGGGTGAGCATAGGGGGGACATGAGGATAAGAGGAGGCATGGGCGGCCATGGGGACAGGAGCGGTATATGGAGGTATGGGACCATAGGGGCATGGGGTACGCTCACATACCATGGGTGCAGGCCGAAGGAGGGGATGACGCAAGGGTGGGCAGCAGCAATGGCGGCCACTGCATCCCAGTCTCCCTGATGCCCGCCCGTGCATGGGGTGGGAAGCATTGGGCATGGGAAGGGGAGGCCAGGGCGCGCATTGGAGCATGAAAGCAGGAGAATCTATTTCTTGGAAGGGTGGGGGCGGAAGGCGGGGGAGGCTATAAGAGGGCGTCGGTTGAATTGAATTCCGCTGCTGACACAAATCCAGTAGATTCTGACGTCACCATGTCCTCTGCTGACCTCATGCGTGCCGTTGCAGACCATCCATTGGACGCCCGCGTCGGCCGCGTCACCCACGATGCGCGCGGTGCGCGAGGCGTTGCGCGGGTCCTGCAGATGGCAGTGCGCGTCGAACCACACCGCGCGACCCGCCGCTGCTGCGGACATCACAGCGAATCGCACGACGCGTCACGTGTGAGGACGAACGAGAAAGGGTGAGAATCGCACAGCTAAGTGGATGAGCCGCTAATGAAGAAAATTGCGAGAGAGCAATTGGCGGAGCAGGTCGATGGCGCGAATTGCGGGCGGAATTTGAGGTGGCGTGAGCAATGAGTAGCGAGCTCCGAGCCAGCCGTCCGCGCTACCTGCGCGTTTGCTCTTACCGCGTTGTCAATCTCAACTACCATGACGAGTTAGTTTTTTCTTACAGATTCAAATACGGTACTAGTCAGCACTTTCCACTAGTGTAATCCAGACAAATTAAACTCTAGTGACTTATTTCCCCTATAGATAATAATTTTCGCGTTTTATGAAATTTTTGAAAGCCATAAAACCATGCCACGGTATTTTCAAAATTAGGACGCAGGAGGCTTGGCCATTTGAAGCCTCCCATGTGGTGGGACCAACCAAAATTTTCCGATGAACCCTAAAGAACATTCTTCAATCATTGGGCTTCGTCGAGGCGCTCGAAGCCCTGGTTGGCATTCCGGCCAAAAAGTATCTTCTTGCGAGCATGGCGTTTTCCTGCACATAGAATGATGAGGCACGGACAAGGCAAGGGGTGGGGGGGGGGCAGTCCGTATCATTTCCGGGAATACACAAATGGAGACGGTGTACAGAACATGGCAGTGTACCAAGAATGAAGATCCAACCAAGTGTACCGGTAAGCACAAAACTCAAAGCATACCTGGCAGGGGGATGAGCTTGGAGAGCATGCCAAAGGGCACGCAGCCAAACCCCAGCACGAAGCACAGTGCCCACTGCAGCAGCGTCAGGCGCACACAGCCAGCGAACTTGCCCAGCAGCTGCACCAGCAGCACCTGGGGCCAGGGGGGAGGGAGAGGGGAGGGGGAGGAAAGGGTGGACTTATCTACAACTGCGTGAGGCGCGCACAGCCGAAACACTACCGTACAGTTCCACTAGCAGCACCTGGGTAATGCACTGTCGTTGCACTAGTTTGACCAACACCGACCAGCATTGACCAGCACGGCGAGATGGATGGAGACAAGAGGACGAAGAGGCGGTTGACGAGCATTGACTAGCATTTATAAGTATTCACATGCATTGACCTGCGTTGACCAGCGCTGACCTGCACTGCGAGTTCGATGGAGACAATGAGGAGGAAGAGGCGGTTGACGAGCAGCCCCTCAAACACGTTCCACTCCTCCAGCTTGCGCGAGTTCAGCTGGTTGAATATCTGCCGTGTGGAAGGGAGAAGGGGAGGGGGAGAGGGGGAGAGGAACGGGAAGGCGAGCCTGAGCTTGAATAGCACATCCCATCATCTCCCACTACGAGCCACATCCATGCCCCATGGGTACCATATTTACAAGGCATCAATCCCATGGCCACCACACTCAACCCCCCAGGACATGTGCATGAAGAGAGACATTGAGACCCCCCCAGAACACCTGCACTCACTCACCTGCATGAATACAAAGGACGAGAAGATGATGGTCACCAGCTGCTTTTCCCCTTCCGAGATCTCCTCCCCGCCCTTGGCAATCACCCTCGGCACGCCCGGTGGTCCCGGCAGCTGGAGAATCTCCATCCCCTTGAACCACAGCACGCACAGCAATTCCATCGCCATCCCCGTTCATTCCCCCAGCACACCTACATCAAGTCAACCGGTGAGATGAGAATATCCCCCCCAGCCCACCTGCATGAATACAAAGGACGAGAAGATGATGGTAACGAGCTGCTTCTCCCCTTCCGATATCTCCTCTCCTCCTTTAGCAATCACCCTGGGCACGCCCGGGGGTCCCGGCAGCTGCAGAATCTCCATGCCTTTGAACCACAGCACGCACAGCAGCGACAGCTGGTACACCGTCTGCCCAATGATGTTGCGCCACATGGCGGCGGATACCAGCTCCTGGCTGCGCCCCACAGGCGGCTGCTCCAGCAGCTTATCAGATGGGGGTTCCGTGGCGAGGGCTAATGCACCCAACGTGTCTTGAATCAGGTCTACCCAGAGCATCTGAAGGGTAGTGTGGAAAAAAGGGGTTGAGAGGGAGTAAGAGGAGAAGCGCCACATGGCAGCCGATACAAGCTCCTGGCTGCGTCCCACGGGCGGCTGCTCCAGCAGCTTGTCCGAGGGGGGCTCTGTGGCGAGAGAAAGTGCACCTAGGGTGTCCTGAATCAGGTCCACCCAGAGCATCTGAAGGGTATTGGGGCAAGGAGGGGTTGATGAGGAGGGGAGAAGGTGCAGTTTGCAGGTGAAATGAGCTCCTGGCTGGCTGCGCCCCACAGGCGGCTGCTCCAGTAGCTTGTCGGACGGGGGCTCGGTGGCCAGGGCGAGCGCTCCTAAGGTGTCCTGAATCAAATCCACCCAGAGAATCTGGAGAGTGGGGGAAGTGATGCATGAGAAAATGTCAGGACTTGGTTGCACTCAGAGCGCAGAGCAGTTTTGAGACGGCTCACAACCCCATAGTGTGCCGGACGAGGCGTTGCCTCTGAGTCGACTCAACATACGGTCCCGAACCGCATGCCAGCAACACGGTGAAGTTTGAGACAGCTCAGAACCTCAGGGGTGCATGATCGATAGTCAGCAACAAAGCTGGCACGCACCTGCACAGCTGTGAGCGGAGCATCCCCCGTGACGACAGCAGAGATGAAGTTGAGAGTGAGAGCCACGCAGTTGACGGTGATCTGGAACTGCAGGAAGCGCTGAATGTTGGCGAACACAGAGCGCCCCCACACGACACAGCACACAGCACAGCACAGCACAGAGCTGCCAGTCAGCTGCTACTCACCTGGACAGCAGTGAGGGGCGCATCCCCTGTGACAACAGCAGAGATGAAGTTGAGAGTAAGGGCGACGCAATTCACTGTGATCTGGAACTGCAGGAAGCGCTGAATGTTGGCGAACACAGAGCGCCCCCACACGACGGTGCGCACGATGGATGCAAAGTTGTCGTCCAGGATTATGATGTCTGCGCTTTCTTTCGCCACCTCCGTGCCGCACTGCCCCATCGCCAGCCCTATGTCCGCCTGCGGGTGTCATAGAGGCAAGAAAGAAGAGAAGCGCGTGTCATGTGTGCTCTGAGTTGCAAGCACAAACAAAACCCCATGCATGCTCCCACCCACCACCCATACCCCATGCATGCTCCCACCCACCACCACCCATACCCCATGCATGCTCCCACCCACCACCCATACCCCAAGGCACGCACCTCATGCAGCGCAGGGGCGTCGTTGGTGCCATCGCCTGTGACCGCCACCACATGCCCCATCTCCTTGAGCGCCCTCACCAGCTGTAGCTTGTCTGTGGGTGATGCGCGTGCCAGCACCTGGTGAAGGGGACGCGATGGCATGGGCGGGAAGGAGGAGAGGGGTACATGGTGGGGGGCTTGGTGGAGAGGGGGGTACATGGTGGGGGGCTTGGTGGAGAGGGGGGTACATGGTGGGGGGCTTGGCGGAGAGGGGGGTACATGGTGGGGGGCTTGGTGGAGAGAGGTGGGGAGGATTCAACCCAGTGCGGAACAGAGAGGAAGAGGGTGGGGGAGTGGGGAGGGGGAGAGGAGGATATGGAAACCGCCACCCACCTGCAGATCTGCACCCACTAGCGCCCTAAAGCCCACCTGCAGATTTGCACCCACTAGCGCCCTAAAGCCCACCTGCAGGCGGTCAACGGTTGCAGGCAGGTCGTTTTCATGGATGGCACGGAACTGAGCACCGTCCATCACAGTGCCACCCGCGGTCAGAATCCCGCACTCCGTGGCGATAGCCGTGGCCGTCTCAACGCTGTCCCCCGTGACCATGCGCACCACAATGCCCGCGTTCTGGCAGTGCAGCACCGAGTCAGGCACCTCCACTCTACACGGGTCCTTGATCCCCACAAACCCTACATACACCAGATCGTCCTCTGGTACCCCCACACTCCCGTCCTCTCTCTTTGGCATCCCCTCCAGGCCTGTCCGCTTGTCAAAGTCCCGAAAGGCGAACCCCAGCGTGCGCAGGGCTTCTTTTCCCATGTCGCGGAGGGCTCGCTCTAGCTCCATGCGCTTGGGTTCGGTGAGTGGAACGATGCTGCCGAGGGAGTTCACGTAGTGCCCGCACTGCTGCAGGATCACCTCGGCTGCGCCCTTCCAGTGCACGCGTAAGCTTCCCGGGGTGGTGAGGGAGTCGGTGGTGGTGGTGGTGGAGGAGGGAGAGTCAGCGGTGCGGATGAGCACACCCATGCGCTTGCGCGTAGAGCTGAAGGGCTGCACTGCCAGCACCTCGCACTGGTCCTTGGTCTCGTGGAAGCGCATGCCGAACTGGTGAGATGCAGGATGGGAAGGAGAGATGGGGGGGGGGAAGGGGTTGTGAGGCGGTTAGTGCAAGGCACAGCAGCATCGGAGGTGAATGGCTGCACGGCCAGCACCTCGCACTGCCCCTTGGTCTCGTGGAAGCGCATGGCAAACTGGTTGGAGAGCAACCGATGCGGATTGGGATTGGAAGACGAATGGTGTAAGGTGAATGGAGGGCGAAAATGAGGAGAGCATGGGACTGAGGAAACGGGAGAGGTGGAGAGTAAGCTTCTAGATGTGTAAGGTGTATAAGAGGAGAGGTGAGGAGGGATGAGGATGGGAGGGGTGGAATTTCGGAGAATTTCAGAGCGTGTTTAACAAGGGAGGGGGCTTGGTGGGGCGGCTGGTGAAATGTTGCAAGTGAATCCAGCATAAAAAGGAGGAGGATGGGAGGGATGGCTTACCGAGACTCCCCAGGCGAGAATGGCCTTTTCTGTGGGACTGCCGCTGATGACAGGTGGCATGCCCTGCTCCTTCCACGTGGCAGCACAGGGCGTGGGGAGGAGGGAGAGGCAAAAGGAGAGAGATTAGGCAGGGAGGGAGGAGTGAGGATGCCGTGGGGGTGGAAGAAGGGTGAACAACGAGGAGAGAAGAGTTGATTGAGGGTGAGGCAGGAGTAGGGGAGTGCGAGACAAACAGCATGAGTAGAATAGCAGGCTGGGATGAAGGGAACAATGCAAGGGAACAGGGAATAAGGAGAGAGGGGTGAGTAGGGGAGAAGGGTAAGCGGAGAGAGGGATGAGAAGGACAGCGAGGCAGGGAGAATGGAGAGGTGAGGAGGAGAAAGGGTACCGGAGGTTCATCGACGGATCCACTGGTGTTGACCGCGATGGCCTGGTATAGCAGCTGTTGGGGGGAGAGCACAGACATGGCAAAGGAGGAGAGGAGAGCGAGGTGAGGAGGAGGGAGGGTGCCGGAGGCTCATCGACGGATCCACTGGTGTTGACTGCGATGGCCTGGTACAGCAGCTGCAAGGGGGACACGCACAACAGGGGGGGAAGGAGGACCCGGGTGTGTGAGACGCCTTGACGCAGGAGGCATTGAAAGCTGAGGCAGCTGGCGCAGAGCAGGGGAGGAGAGAGGCGCGGTGGCGCGATGGGACAGACGTAGCAGCAGCTGCCGCTGCTGCAGATGAAACATATCAGAGTCTTTTTTAGAATTCCCAAAGTATCTGAGGCAGGCATACCTGAGCAACGGGGGTGGAGACGCCAGTGCGGATGGTGTGGGGCTTGTGGAAGTCGCCTGCCACCCACGCCTGCACCACTGTCATCTCGTTGAGAGTGAGCGTGCCGGTCTTGTCGCTGCAGATGGTGGTGGCACACCCCATCGTCTCACACGACTGCAGGTGCCGCACCTGGTGGGGGCAGGCAGATCACATGGCACGTGGCACACAGCATGCACGTGATGATATACGAATTTTGGGTTCGACTCAAAACGCACAGATGGTGGTCGCACACCCCATGGTCTCACATGACTGCAGGTGCCGCACCTGCTGGTGGTGGTGGTGGTGTTGGTGGTGGTGGTGGTGGTGGTGGTGGTGGTGGTGGTGGTGGTGGTGGTGGGAGTGGTGGGCAATACATGGCAGGCACACATGTGATGACATAATGCAAGATCTACATGGCAGCGCACCAATAGCAACGTTCCAATAGCAGTGCACCAGAAGCAACGTATCAGAAGTGGAGCAGAAGCAGCAAGTGGCAGCACGCATGAGCAGTGAGGGAAATGAGATGAGACAGACATGAGCACGAGCTCACCAGCGAGTTATCCTCCATCATCTTGGTCACTGAAAAGGCCAGACTGGCATGCACAGTTGGCTTTGAGACGACTCAAAAGCCGCCAGCGATGAGGGAGACGAGACAGACAGACAGACAGACAGAGATGGCTATGGGCTCACTCACCAGCGAGTTATCCTCCATCATCTTGGTCACTGAGAACGCCAGACTGGTACGCAGGTACATAGGGGGGGAACAGGAAAGGAGGGAGGAAAGAGTGTGAAAAGAGAAGCGCGGAGGAGGAAGGATGGATGGGTGGGTGAGCAGGAAGATGAGCCAAGCATGCAGGGCAAATGACCATTCATAGAGATGCTCTTGATCTTACGTGAGAGTGACAGCGAGGGGAAGGCCTTCTGGCACTGCGATGACTAGCACTGTGATCTGGGGGAGGATGAGAGGGACGCATGGAGAGGAACACGAAGAGAGGGGCCGACTGGAGGACAAATACTGCAGCGAGTGATGTGCCCTGTTGCAGTGCAGGGTCACAGTGGCATATTGCAGCGGTCACAGTGCGAAGACACAGCACTAGGTGGCAAAGAGAGAGTGAGTGGTTGAGGCATGGTGGGGTGGGGGCATACAGCGATGGTGAAGTAGCTGAGCAGCACGCTGACGTCACTGGCAGTGAAGTTGCTGAAGTCTGCATCCGTCACCAGGTACCTGGGGGGTGTGGTGTGGTGTGGTGTGGTGTGGTGTGGTGGGGTGTTTTGGGGAGTGGTGGGGTGGGGTGTGGTGAGCTAGGCGTATTTTGAGACTCCATATTGTGCGCTGAAACGCATGCCCCCTAAACAATCCTCACTCTCGCCTTTCATTGCAGAATGCATTATGGTGTTCCTGTTACCTTCCGAGTACGTGAGAGACCATTGCATTAAGTACGAGCAGCACGCTAGCAGCACATAATACCGAGTAAGAGCGCACCTTATACTGAGGATGAGGAAGATGAGCACGCCCACAGTGATACCCATGATGCCCAGCAGCTCTGCCACCTTGGTCAGCCGCACCTGGTGGTGTGCGTTAGGGTGGGAAGAGAGGTGGGGAGAGAGGATGGGCAGATTGAAGGACTCAAAGCGCAGCAAGTTGGCTGTGTGATACCCATGATGCCCAGCAGCTCTGCCACCTTGGTCAGCCGCACTTGGTGGTGGTGGGGAGGGCAGGGCGGAGAAATGTAAGGGCTCAACACCAGAAACCTGCTGTGTTGGCTGTGATGGCTGTGGTGGCTGAAAAAGGATACAGTACCCGTTGATGCATTGCTCGTGATATTCAGCAGGATCTGCCGCCCACCTGCAGCAGTGTGCATCCATTACCCGTTGATCACTCTTCTGCACCTCTCCCTCTGCCCACCTCACTCCCCACCAACCTGCAGCGGTGTGGGCTCATCACTGTCCTCTGTGATGGTCGCTAGCACCTTGCCCCACTCCACCTACCTGCAGCAGTGTGCAACCATTACCCGTCACCACACCCCACTCAACCCACCACACACCCCACTCACCTGGAGCGGTGTGGGCTCGTCGCTGTCCTCTGTGATAGTTGCTAGCACCTTGCCCCACACACCAGCAGGACCGTGCAACATTTACCCGTCAACCAGTCTTCTGCACCGCTGCTCTGCCCCCACACCTCTCCCCACTGACCTGCAGCGGCGTGGGCTCGTCACTGTCCTCTGTGATGGTCGCTAGCACCTTACCCCACTCCGTCCTCATGCCCACCGCTGTCACCTGCTCCCCATGCACACATGTATACATGCACACATGCATACGTGCGGGCATCCATATAGTGTGGGAAGAGGCGTCACACACGCATGCAGGCAGGATGGCAGGAAGACAAGAGCAACAGCCGAAATCGAACTAGCTGAACAGCTGATTGAACTGAACAGGCACGATCCAAGCTGGACCTAAATGGAGAGACCAGATGTTCCCTGTGAACCAGAATCGAACTGGCTGAACAAGCACCGTGCATATCACCACCATGGGATCACTGTGGACATGTGATAGCAACCCAACCCCCAAGGACGCCTCACTCACCATCATCTCGCCGAATCCGTCCATGATGGTGCAGCCCGCGAGGATGAATGGGTTGGCCTCGTCCTTGTGCATCTGCCACACCATGTCACCGCACAGCACAGCACACCACACCACACCACCACAGCACAGCACCGCACAACACGCACAGCACGGCGGCAGCATGCAATGGCAGAGGGCATCAGTGGCGTGTTCTCGTGACTGATACATCAGCTGCCAATGTCACTGGTGGTGTAGGGGTATGGCCAACGTGGTGGGACCTGGACATGGTGGCACTCAAAGAGCGGCAGCCAAAGGGCGGCAGCCAAAGGGCGGCAGCTAAAGGGCGCACTGGAAACGGGCAGCACTCACGTTTTCAGACTCTCCTGTGATGCTGGACTCGTTGACTGCCAACGAGTGCCCCTCCATCACCACCCCGTCCGTTGGTACCTGTGTGTGGCACAGCAGACAAGTGAATACACAGCGTTTGCCCATGTGCCCATGTGTGTCCCAGGAGAGAAAAGCACACAGCATTTGGAAAGCATAGCATTTAGCATGGAATGACAGAGTAATTACCGAAATGGATATGCGGTGCCAGCACAAAATGGGAGAGCACAAAATGCCGCGGAATGCAGTGCAATAAAAGGCGAGGGACATGGCTCACATAGTCGCCGTTAGCAGGGGAACACAAGAGCAGATGCATGCCGCACTCACATGGTCGCCAGTGGAGAGGTGGATGATATCCCCCACCACCAGGTCGTCTATCCACACCTTGCCACACCTTGCAGCACCTTGAGGGCAGTACCAGGGGGATACACTAGCACATGCACGACTGACTCACATGATCGCCAGTGGAGAGGTGGATGATATCCCCCACCACCAGGTCGTCTATCCACACCTTGCACCGCCGCCCTGACCGCGTCACCTGCGGGGAGCAGCACGGGGCGTGGGGCATGAAGGGTTGGAGGAGGTCAGGGCGTGTAAGGGTGCCATGCGGGGCAAAAGGAGAGAAGCCGAGGGCACAATAGGGCGAGATGGTAAATGAATGACAATAGCGGAGCGAGTTTTGAGTGGGCGACCACCTCACCTCGATTTGAATCTTCTGCTTCTCGCGGTTGAGCTTTTGAAACTGCAGTGCCTGCCGGTAGTTGCTTATCGCTGCTCACCACACACGGGCGCACGCAGGGGTGTTCAAAAGGGGAACAACTGGCAAGGATTGTGAGCGGATGGAGAGGCCATGTAGAGGCAATGATGATGCAGGGAAACGACAGGGGAAGTGGAGGAGTGTGCGTGGGTGTGTGCATGTGTTACCAGCGACGGTGATGATGAGGAAGAGAGCGATGAAGATGCCCAGCCCGTCGTACAGCCCCTCCAGCGAGCCCTCCGTGGGGATGCTGACGGCGATGGATGCGATGGCGCACACGAATAGGATTTGCACTAGCGTGTCCTGCATGGCCTCCCACACGAAGTACTGTGGGGGTGGAGAGGGGAGGAGGGGAGAGTAGGGGAGGATGATTGCAGCGTGTGTGAGGCGAGGCTGGTCACTGACAGTCACGAACAGGATCTGCACCAACGTGTACAGCATCTCCTCCCACACCAAGTACTGCCGTTGGGGGAGAAAACCGCGGGGATTGGAGAATGGAGAACCTTAGGGCGGAGGGGCATAGGGTGGGCCGCACAGGGAAGAGAGAAACGGAGCACAGGAGTCCGGGTTTAAGGCTTTGGGTTCGACGTGCGCCTTTGTGCGCCCTCCCTTTCACTGACCCACACGCACGTACCCAGAAAGTCTTGCTGCAGCACAGTGCCCACTGCCACTGACCCACAGACCACTGACCCACAGACCACTGACCCACAGACCACTGACCCACAGACCACTGACCCACAGACCACTGACCCACAGACCACTGACCCACAGACCACTGACCCACAGACCACTGACCCACAGACCACTGACCCACAGACCACTGACCCACAGACCACTGACCCACAGACCACTGACCCACAGACCACTGACCCACAGACCACTGACCCACAGACCACTGACCCACAGACCACTGACCCACAGACCACTGACCCACAGACCACTGACCCACAGACCACTGACCCACAGACCACTGACCCACAGACCACTGACCCACAGACCACTGACCCACAGACCACTGACCCACAGACCACTGACCCACAGACCACTGACCCACAGACCACTGACCCACAGACCACTGACCCACAGACCACTGACCCACAGACCACTGACCCACAGACCACTGACCCACAGACCACTGACCCACAGACCACTGACCCACAGACCACTGACCCACAGACCACTGACCCACAGACCACTGACCCACAGACCACTGACCCACAGACCACTGACCCACAGACCACTGACCCACAGACCACTGACCCACAGACCACTGACCCACAGACCACTGACCCACAGACCACTGACCCACAGACCACTGACCCACAGACCACTGACCCACAGACCACTGACCCACAGACCACTGACCCACAGACCACTGACCCACAGACCACTGACCCACAGACCACTGACCCACAGACCACTGACCCACAGACCACTGACCCACAGACCACTGACCCACAGACCACTGACCCACAGACCACTGACCCACAGACCACTGACCCACAGACCACTGACCCACAGACCACTGACCCACAGACCACTGACCCACAGACCACTGACCCACAGACCACTGACCCACAGACCACTGACCCACAGACCACTGACCCACAGACCACTGACCCACAGACCACTGACCCACAGACCACTGACCCACAGACCACTGACCCACAGACCACTGACCCACAGACCACTGACCCACAGACCACTGACCCACAGACCACTGACCCACAGACCACTGACCCACAGACCACTGACCCACAGACCACTGACCCACAGACCACTGACCCACAGACCACTGACCCACAGACCACTGACCCACAGACCACTGACCCACAGACCACTGACCCACAGACCACTGACCCACAGACCACTGACCCACAGACCACTGACCCACAGACCACTGACCCACTGACTGCTGACCCACTGACCGCTGACCCACTAGCCCACAAGCCCACATGCGCGTACCCAGAAGGTCTTCCCAGGCTTCTCAGGGTACGTGTTGGCGCCGAAGTGCAGCTGGCGGCGCGCTATGTCCTCCGCCGTGCCGCTGATGCCGCGCTTCGGATCCACCTGCAGCCGCTCCGCCACCCCCGCTAGCTGCCAATGTAACCCAGTGGTCCGGGGGGTTCAGGGGTTCAAGGGAGGGAGTGGGGAGGCCTGAAGAATGGTGGAGACGTCTGGGTGAAGTTTGAAGGGGAAACGGAGTTCGGGTGGGTGCAGTGCGGTGTGGGGGAACCATTGCCGCATGACTGGAATGACGAGAGGGAGTGCAAGAGCGCATTCCCTGCTTGCGCCTAGGAATTTCCGTGCACAACCTAGGCAATGCCCGCATGTGCCAATGTCCATGCACACGCTCATCACCGATCCCTAGCGCATGCACGCGCACGTTACATACCCATCCCCATGCCCGTTCAAGCCACGCGCACACACACGCACAAACACGCACACAGAACTCGGCACAGCACACACGCCAACGACCACTCACTCCTCCCAGCGACTGCAATTTCGCGAAGTCGCCCGGATGCGACATTCGCGAGAGTTCGTCAGGGTCGATGCCGAATCCGCCCGCCTGCCACGCGCCGGTTTCGCCCATCTCCACCGTCCCACCGCCTGCTCATGCCACGTGGCCATGCAAGAATTGTCGACTCGGTTGTGGAAGTAAGATCTATGATTACCCAATCTGCTGGTTGCATTGACACGTTCAATCAATTCAGCCTGAACCGAGCGTGGATGTCAAAGCCGTAAGCTGGATATCGCATGACATATTCTTGAATGGGTTAAACAGTGTCGAAAGAAATGGCATCTGCGATACACACACCTTTGTTCTGGTCGCCCTTCTTCGTCCGGTCCTGCACACCCATGGCTGCGAGACGCTGATCTTGCGAGTGTGATTGGTTAGATGAGAGGAGACGAGAGTCGGGATAGGCGGAGACGCCTTCTGAGGCGCCCCGAAAGATGATGAACCCGCAAGTGTGACGATTTGAGAGGAGCAGAAGACGGGACAGGCGGAGGCGCCGCCGTCGTCGATCTGCTTCGACGAATGGCTACGATATTGTAGATCGCTTGGTACGCCAGCTGCTATAACACTACGTTGTGCTGCATGACGAACAGGGATTGAGTGCCGACGACTCCATCAGAAGTTTAAGAGAGGTGTCGCGTCAATAGGGTCTACTTTAGCCCAGTACCATCAGCGGACTCGCGGAGAGAGTCGATGCGGTCACAGTAGGGGTACTAAGAGCGTGATTCTCGGTCCCAAGTCGCTCCTAGTTGCGAGATAAATGAACGGGAATCACAATGAACTTGAATGGACACCAAGAAATTGCAGTCTCGCACGGGGGCAAGTCAATTCAATGTACCGGAGAGGACGGATACCGTTACGTATATGGTGAGAACATGCATGAGACAAGTCCACCAATGGTGAAAATTGCGCTGGTGATGTAGCACCTAGCCAGCGGAGCTGAACTCAACGAGCTATGGCAAGGATTTCTGGGGTGCGTATTTGCAACCACCTGCTCAAACTTATTTACACCCAAATTCCATGCCTTTCATGCATCTTGATTCCTCGTGACCCCTGAGGGGGACGCGGTACACGACTTTGTCCTCCTGAGGGCGAGTTGTGGCGCCCACAATTTGTTCTTCACAAACGGTTGAGTGCAATACTCTGTGATGCAGTACGGTTTCTTGCTTACTGCTTTGAGCCGTTTTATAACCCGTCTCACCGTTCACGCCTGAATTGTGACCATCTCCACTGGGACGGTGGGAATATCTCACGATTCAGCAAATTCAGGGGTTGCGTGGGACTTCGTCTTGCGCGAATAGACCACGGTTCTGTTTGGTTCGCTGCTTTCCAAAGCGGTGAACCGTGTAGCAAACCAATTGAACCACATGCAACGAATAAGGAGGGGCGCGCTTCATAATATCTTTGCGGCGGAGAGCGGAATGGGGATACGAGTGGGAATGGGAAGTGGCGCAAGCCAAAGGGGAAGGAAATTGATGGCGAGGGGAAGGGAATAGAGAGCGTGGCGGAAGGTAGGGGGGAAGCGCGGAAACAGCGCCAGGTTTACGAGATGATGGAGGCATGGAAAGCTCGAGGGAAGGGTGGATGGGCGCCTTGATTTGCGGGAGGCCAGAGCGCAGGTGTGCCACCAGGTGGCTCCTGGAAATAAAGGGTTTGATTGGTGCACGAAATGTGCGAAACTTATGAAGTCCTCGTTGATGAATCACACGCCGTTCGTCTCACAAGCAATCAGAAGTGGTCCGTGACGTCACAGATGCACTCACCGCCACCAATCACATTCACACCTCCCACGTGACTCCTCAAGTTCTGGGGTAAAATAGAAACAGTGCATACTCGTATTGACCACATCAGTGAACCCGTTTTGCATCTGATATATGTAACTTCAACTAAACCTCTTAGTGAGGCTGCTTTCCACATGTGAAACATGACGTGTTCAAATCCGCGTACTATGCACACTCACGCTGTCTCCTTGCATGAAGCCAATTCTTATGGTACAAACAAGCTGTTATGTACATTAGTGTGTGTGGTACTTGGGAGCATGCATGCTAACTAGGTGTAGGACTCAGCAGCGCTAGCTAGATCTCTCCGGTGATATGGTGTGAGAACAGAATCCACTGCAATATCCTCAAAGATACGAACCCTGAGCTCAGGTCTGAGGCATGCCCCCTTGCCCTGCTTGCCCTTTCCACCTCAAATCCGGGCGGCACACTGGCGCAAACGAGCACCAAGAGCATTTCCAAGCCTCTTCACGAGGCACGAAGAAGGGGCGGCGGCGCCCGAGCCAGAACTCGAGGCTCGTGGCGATGCTAGCTTGCAGCCAGTGGGGATCGTAGGCGAAACGATCCTCACAAATGAGTGAGCCATCGGCCTGCCATTCATACCTGCACGAAGACAGCAGCATAGCAGAAGAAGACTACTTGAGCAACTCAGGGGAGTCGGCGAGACAGGAGACTTTGACTGTCGTGTGTCGTGCAGGCACTCAAGGCGTTGCAGCAAACACATGCCGGAATTTGGTGTGACGGGGCTACCATACCGTCTGCGTACCGTAATAGCAGGGTCGAGTGCAGCGGCTGCAGCGACTGGAAGGCGTGAGAAACCGCACTCGTGACGTCAGCTAGACATGCGATCTGAAATATGGGGCAGACGTGAGCAGAAACACAGCACACAGTGGCTACAGGCAGGGCCAAACAACATCTCACCACAATGGCTACACCTTTCATAATTTCACCTTCCCAGCATCTCACCTTCCCAGAATCACACCTTTCTCCGCGGAAAAACCTCTGCAGCATGCTCGAGCACTTGCGGGGAGAGCGCGGTATGGGGGTGGAGGCGGAAGCAGGAGAAGAAGGGCTCCTGAGGCACGCCATGCTGAATCATGCTGCTCAGCAGCGCGCTGTAGCACATGAGCTGCAACCTGCCGTGGGGAGAACAGGGGATGGGAGAGAGCGGCATGGGGGTGCAGGCGAAGAAGAAGAAAAGCTCTCGAGGCACGCCGTGCTGCACCATGCTGCTCAGCAGCGCACTGTAGCACATCAGCTGCAACCTGTGGCGGGGAGAACGGGGTGGGCGCAAGCGGGTGGGAGAAAGCGGGTGGGAGAAAGCGGGTGGGAGAAAGCGGGTGGGAGAAAGCGGGTGGGAGAGAGCAAGGGGAGCTGCTGCTCATGAGCTAGCGATCGTGCTCGAGAGAAGAGGATGGGCCAAGAACGGTGTCTGTGCCATACACGGCGAGCCAGGGGGGACGAAGGAAATTTATGACACAGGGAGCATGTGGGCGAGGGATGGGGCCCATACAAGCCCACCTGGCCTTCCTTCTCTGATCAGTCCTGGGGGTCGGGGCCGCACGCGCGTCCTGGTATTCACCACCATCACACGCCACCCGCTCCCACCCTCTCTGCTTCCCTCCCCCCTTCCCACGCCCACACGCAATTCGTCTTGCATGCAAGCCCACCTGCTGTTTCTGCTCTGTGCTGTCCTGGGGGGTCGGGGGCGCACGCGAGTCTTGGTATCCACCACCATCACACGCCACCCAGACCCGCCCTCCCCCACTCCTCCCCCTGCTCCTCCCTCGCCGCCACCCTCCCCGCATCCCCCACCACATCCCTCCGCGCCTCCCTTGTTGCCCCCATCCCTGCCAGGGCGTCTAGTGGAGTGAGGTTGCGGTGCAGGCAGCATGGGCACATCGGACTCATTGGACTCAGTGGATGACTGAGAGTTGATCGCCTGTGAATCGGAACCATATCCCATTGAGCGTTCTGAAATCATCAATTGGGAATCCAACGGCTGTGATTCCAAAGGCTGGGGATCTAACAGCTGCGAATTGAACGGCTGTGGATCTAACCGCCGTGAATCTAATGGCTGTGATCCACCTGATGCTCTCTCCTCCTTGCTCTTCTGCGTGTGCTCTCCCTCGGTCCCCATGCACCCAGATTTCCTTTTCACTGGACTTGCATGGCTCGACTGACCCCTTTGACCTGCCTGTCCTGATTGACTAGCTGCCTGCCCTGTTTGACTCGTTTCGCCTGATTGACTCGTTTGACCTGTTTGACCTGATTGTATTGTTTGACTTGTTTCGCCTGATTGACTCGTTTGACCTGTTTGACCTGATTGTATTGTTTGACTTGTTTCGCCTGATTGACTCGTTTGACCTGTTTGACTGCCAGCGCTGCAGCCTTCCATCCCTGCACTCCCCTGTCGATCATCTGCTGCAGCAGGGCCAGCGCGCACGAGTCGCAGCTCATCAATCACGCCCACCACCCACAGTCCCTGCACCCTGCCCAACCTGAACACGGAGATAATCAACAAAAAAGGAACAACACAATCCCGTGCCAGCTGGCGAATCAAACAGCAGCGAACGCGGCAGCAGAAGCAGAAACAGGAGAAAACAGGCAGCGGGTGGTGTCCTAGAAGTAACAGTATAGTATCAGGAGGGGGGGAAGGGCAGGAGGCACTAACACAAAGACTTCGCGCGTTATCCCGCCAGCAGCATCACCAAAGCCCGTCCCTGACCCTCCCCCCATCGTCCCCCTCAAGGCCTCCCCCAGAGCGAGCACTCTTGCAGCGGCCCCCAGCAGTCTGAGCGCCCACGCGTCCTCCCTGGTTTCCACCGCCACCTCCACTGCTTCCACCACCTCCCTCTCCAATGCTGCATGCCTCTCCGCGCCCGCCCTCATTGCTGCTGTTGGCAAAGGTTTGCCGCGGGAGAGAGAAAACACGACCCGCTGCTCACACCACTCCTGTGAGCAGAATAAGAACGACCACGTGTGGGAAAGGGCAAAGGGGTGGAAATGACGAGTCTGAGCGCCCACGCGTCCTCCCTGGTTTGCACGGCCACCTCTACTGCTTCGACCACCTCCCGCTCCAACGCTGCGTGCCTCTCCGCGCCCGCCCTCATTGCGGCTGTCGGTGGGGGGGCGCCGCGGGCGAGGGCGAAGACCACCCGCTGCTCACACTACTCCTGTGAGCAGGGGCGGAAGGGGGAATGGGTGAGTGAAACCAACATACGCTGCATGCCTCTCCGCGCCCGCCCTCATCGCTGCTGTTGGTGAAGGTTTGCCGCAGGACAGAGAGAAAGAGCACCCGCTGCTCACACCACTCCTGTGCGCAGGGACGGATGGGGGGATCAGGGAATGAGGGAATGGGAGATTCGGTGGGTTTGGCGACGGAAGAATGGGCGAGTGGACGAATAGTGGAAAAAAAGAGGGCGAGACTGAGAGGCTTCTAAGAACGTGGCGCGGGATGGAAGAGGCACGTGAGTGCATTGTACCGCGTCTGTGATATCGGTAACGGACAGCCGTTGATTGTGCTTGCAATCCAATGGCCGCCGTGCCACGTGCCTTGCCCGAACCTCCAGCGCCCCTTCTCTGGCTTCCCGTGCCTCTGATTGCGTCCCCCTCTCCTCTGAACCTGTTCCCCGAGCCTCTGTACTCAATCCCCGAGCCTCCGTTCCTGCCTCGCGCTCCCCCGCACAACCATCAGCGCCTGCAGCAACGCCACGTGTACACTCCGCCGAAAGCGCATCGCGCTTCGCCACGTCCTCAATGTCCGGAAATAGAGACCTACTTGTTGCAGGCTCCGCCACTTTCGGAGCCTGAAAAGGTGCCTCAAAAAGCGCCTCGGGTCGCATCCAAGCAAGAAGCGACTTTTGAGGCGACGCTGCCGCCGCGCTGCTTCCCGCAAACTCGCTCCGCCCCCCGCACCGGCGCGCATCGTTCCGCGCGTGCGCGGATTCCCCCCTGTCCACCCGCGGGTGTTCCGCCACTACCTCCGCGGAACTACCCGCTCGCGCAGCTTTCCGCGCAGCCGCTTCCCGCTCCGCGGCCGCCACTGCCGCCTCAAGCAGCGCGAACTCTTCGTCGGGCAGAAGAAGCTTCTCATGAAAATGCTCTACGATCTGCATGCTGCCCGCGAACATGCAGCGTCACTCTTGTCCTCGCTAATAGCACAATAAAGCCCCTTGGCTCGCTAAAGGAGGCTGTAACCGAAATCGTGGAGTTTCTGGCTCCCGTCGCGAAAAGCTGTCAGTGTAGCGCTAACGAGGCCCTCCCCCAAAGCCATGTTCGCTCACGCATGTAGTATCACTCATACTGCTGCTGCTAGCAAACAACGCCCGCTTTACTACATGCAATGCTACAGTACCCTCGTACCGGCGAGGAAATCAAGAGGCGCAGCTGAGTCCAGATCCATGACAGCTATTTTGATGAGTGTAATGTCTAAGTAGACTGACTGGGAAGAGGAGATGAGATAAACGGCTCTTAGTCAGTCCCAGTTCTTGAGGGCTAGGCACAACTGCAGCTGAGGGGAAAAGAAAGCAGATCCAGATTCCAAACGTGTAGCCCCCGTAAGCGTCACCAGCACGCTACATTCTACTGCTCAAAAAGCCCCGAGGCTCTTTTGGTGGTCTGGTTCAGATTTGGGAATGCATGCAGCCATCATCCTTGTAGTGCCAGCCTCGAAACGTTTATAGTCCTCATAGGGTTGAGCTGTTCAGCTCAGACATTCCGACAGAGTGAGGCGGGTGATGGTAAGAATTGCACCATGGAGCATGCAGAGCAGTTTAAAACGAGTACAGAAGCAGTCTCAAAACAAGGGCTGTTCGCGATTGGAAGCAAAAGCCACATTTGCCATTCAAATGGAACGAATCGAAGACTACCATTTGGCCTCGTGGGATTGCTCAAGAAAATGGACGCGTCGACCATCTTTCAAGTGGATTCCCTAATGAAGCATGAATGGGCAGAATTGAGTACAGTATCCCTCTTGAATTCAGCCCGAGGAACACGATACAGCTCGTGTATATCAAAGCTGTTATTGAAATTTGTGTGAATGAGAAATAGAATTATTTATTCATAGTATTAGACTTCACCAATTTACGAGGCGACGCGAAAAGAATATTCTTCTTCCGCCTCTGGTCCGCCAGCAGTTTGTGGCATGCAAGCCAGCCACACGAGCGTAGCTTCTGTGCGAGATGTCAGCCACATGACTCGAATTTTGAGTTACCCTCCGCCAATCAACGACAGCCCTTCGCAATGTGCCTGCCCAGCTGGGCTGATCTTTCTTGCCAAGCTTGTCTAGGATGCACTGTACATACGGTACGTTCTCGGGTGCGCGACAATTTGCCCAGATCTCATAAGAGCCAGCAGGGCGAGGCCTTGTGCATCCAACTCATCAAAATCATCATCATCCATCTTTTTGTCCTCGCACAACTGCATCTGTTACATGTACAGTGCACACGAAGGTGATCGCGAGAGATTTTATAGAACTTGGCTTGCCGATCCGACGGTTACTGTTCGACGGTTACTCGTCGCTATCGAATCCCGCTGGTGTGTCTTCATCCCGAGACTATTCAAAGGGCGAACTTTTTCCCTTACAGTGCCCGGATGATCAGCACTGAAACAATATAGTACAGTACACCCTTCCCATCCTTCCGAAGAAATCCTCAGGTCATTTCTCTCTGCCCTCCCACCCTTCCCCGCTCCATTCCATCCACCCCCTCTCCTGCATGCATCACAGCTGTGGGAATTGTCGCATTTCGAACGCCCTCTTGACTCCGTTGCACTTTCCCAAAAATCGTTGGGCCAAAGCAAAGCAGTCTTTTCGCTTGAAACTCTCCTCGTCCAGCTCAGCCACAGATTTTTCCTGTCTCGATTCCCCCATCTCATTCATCCCACTCATCCCGCACGCGCCACGGCCCGACCCCCTGTTCCCTCCCTCCTCCCCTCTTCCGAACATCTCTCTCGAAGCTCGGCTCTTCCATTCAGCCCCAAACATTTGAGCTTCGCATTTGCAAATCCACGATTCGACGCCACACAGTCCCAAACAACTTGCCAAACGCGGGCCAGCAATCTGCCTCTAGCGCTGCACTGCACCACTCCTGCCTTTCCTGCTGTCCTGCTCTATTCTGCGCTGCTCTGTGCGTTTCCCCACAAGACCATCCCAGCTGTGCACATTCATTCATCTCCTCAAATTACAGAAAATTGAAACGCAGTTTTCAGACGCCACCATAGTCTCCAAATGTCTGCTTCAGCGTTGACGACACCCATTCACATTTCCGACATCCTTTCTCCACTTGACGCCTTTCGTCTAACGATAGCCTTTCGCCCTGCTCCGAGACATAACGAATTACGAGCCAATCGCTACTGCGGTTCGAATTAGTCGCGTGTCCCGTCGATTCGCAAATCACTTACGATCGGGTGTTGGTTGCAACAGACGAATTGATTCAACGCGATCAGTCTCACTTTGTGAGTGAGACGTCGATCATCGTGGATGAGTACGCCTGAGCCGCGCCGCAATCCACTGAATTGAAGGCTCTGCAGCACCGCACCGCCCACCGTCGACTTTGTAAAAGACATTGCGTTTTGAACCGTCCCGCGTCGCGGATCTGCTTCGGATCCCCTCCGAAAACCGCGAGTCGCGAACGCAGTAGCACCACGCGCGAGAGTTCGACTGTAAGCCATCTTCATCGATCCATCCATACGATCATCAGAGTCGTCTCGCGTCCTCACATCCGGACAGAATCCTCGCGACGTCAGCTCAGCTGACAAAAGAGTCCGACCGTTGATTTGATCGAGTCGACCGTCCACTGCGGTGACCCGTTGGTTCGATCAAAGGAGGTCTTTAAGAAGCAGGCCTGAGCCGCCTCCCTCTCCTGCGAAGCGAGATTGGATTTATTATTCAAGTCGCCAACTTCAGCGCATTCTCTAAGCGTCGCTCGAAGCACTCGTTCGCTGTCGCAAAGACGGCGTCTGCGACGGTTTCGGCGAAAGCGACGGCGTCACGACGGCATCGACGACCCGGCGGTGACGGCGACGGTTCCGTCGAGCAAATACGGGCGAGGCGATGCGATGATCGCTGCGACCCGCTTCGGTACTGGCGACGTTTCTGCGATAATGTCGGCGGGAAATGCGGCGACGGCGGCGGCTTTTGGCGCTCGATCAGCGCGCGACGACCGCGCCGACGCAGCAGCGGCCCTCGCGGCAGCAGGGGGCTCTGCATTCAAATCGTCGCCTTTGCCGCGATCGGCGGGAGCGGAATCGCCTCAAGGGGCGCACGAGCCGACGGGGGACGGCGCGATCGGCGGCGCAGAGTCCGGGGCGACGGGGAGTTACTCCCGCTGGTGGTCGCCCGAGGTAACTTATTGCGGCCCCCTTGCTGCGCGCGATGCAATGCCGCCCCTTGGCTGCGCGCGAGGTAATGCCGCATTCCCCATTCGCCGCATTTATGCACCGCATGAATCACTTTGAAACAAAGTGATGGTGCATTTCAGAGCCGTGACTCTCCTTCTCACCGCCCCTCTTCCTCCCGCCTCCGCTTCTCCTCTCCCCACCTCCTCGCCCCCCCCTTCCACCGTCACACCCGCAGGAGGATTTGATTTTATTGGATCACGTGCGCAGCTACGGCACGCGGCACTGGGGCGTGCTCAAGGCGTCGGGGCGGCTGCCGCACCGCGACAACAAGGCCTGCTGCAACCGATTCATCCTCCTTAAAAAGTACTTACGCACTTATCCTCCCTAAGAAGTGACTCGTTTGTGGGCAGCGTACTGCAAGCCCCATTATTGTGCTTTCTCTCACACGTGCCCGCTTCAGCATCGTCTGTCTGCATCGAGTCTTCCTTCCACCCCTCTATCTCTCACCCTCACACCCTCTCACCCTCTCTCGTTCGCTCATTTCCCCTTCCCCCCTCCAATCATTTCCCGCCTCCCCTCCACCCTTCCCCTCCCCTCCCCCCTTCCCCGTTATTCCCCTTGCAGGCGCTACTTGGACCAGGAGGGCGCGCCAGTCTATCACGGCCTCACGGAGCCGCTCTCTCAAGGACTCAACCCAGCCCTCCGATCCGCGCACAGCCAATCTGAGCTGTCCATTCTCTCGCCCACGTCTCCCCAAGGCACCACCGCCACCGCCACCACCGCCCTGTCGTCCCCTGCCGCCATCACCAGTCATCAGTGCTTCGTTCAGCCGCATCACCCTCGCGATTACCTGGTTACCAGCTCACACGCCGGCCCTGCTGCTGCTGCTGCTGCTGCTGCCCTTGCTGCTGCTGCTGCTGCTGCTGCTCTTCCGTAGCTGCTGCAGCTGGAGCGATGGCTGGGCAACCCCAGGGGTTTCCTGTCCCTGTCGGTTCGGATCCCGGACCTACTGCCGAGCCTGCTGGTGCTGCTGGCGGATCGACAGTGCGCGCTGGGCTAAGTGCGGCTTTTAGTAAAGCGCCGGAGGTGGTGGAAGAGGAGGAGTTGCGCGGGCTGGCGCTGACGGCAGGGGGGACGTGGGAGGAGAGGGAGGGGGGGATGGCACATGGGGGATGGCGCATGGGCGGGTGGTGGATGGGGGGGGAATGGATGGGGCGATGGCGGATGCTCTGTTGGGAGCTTATGATTCTGGTGATGGTATGTCGCATGGTGATGCGATGATGGGTGGAGGAATGATGGGTGTAGAGGTGATGGAGGGAGGGATGATGGATGGGGGGATGGGTGCGGCCGACATGGGAATGATGGGAGTTGATGGCAGGGCAGCCATGCAGGGCATGGAAGGGGCACAGGCAGCAGCACATGCCATGTGGATGGGCGGCAGTCACGCCACGTGTCGTGCTGCTATTCGCGGCAGCAGCAGTGCAACCATGGCAGTGCATGGCTCAGGGAGCATGGGGAGAGGGGGGCAGCATGTGGGGGGAGTGGGTGCGCATGCATGGGCGGTGGAGCGCGCCATTCGAGAAGGGCTGCGCCCACATGCCTCCACGTCTTTCAAGACAGCTGCCAGGAGGAAAATGGCGCCCCACTCCCCTTCGTTCTCCGGCTCACCGCACTCCCATGACCCGGCCTTCATTCGCCGAATGGCCGATTTCTTCCGCCTCCCCATGCCCCCGCCTGCTGCTGCCGCTGCCATCGCTGCTGCCGCTGGTGGTGCTGATACTACTGCTGCCACTTCACCTGCTGCTGCTGCTCGTCCTGGTGGTGGTGCTGCTGGTGCTTTTGTTGCCACCACTTCTGCAAGCTCTGGCCCTAACTCACCTGAGGATTCACCTGGTGGGGCACCTGAGAGCCGTGCAGCACTGGAGGAAAAAGATGCGACATCAGCGGGACAGCAGCAGCAGCAGCAGCAGCAGCAGCAGCGACAGGAGGAGGAACAAGCAATCAAGGCAGCAACGAACCTGGACAAGCTCCAAATCAACAGCGGCAATGGCTCACATCAGTCACAGTGCTTTCAGCAGTCTCACCACTCTCAACCGCTTCAGACCCCTGTGGAAACAGTCAAGACGAAGCTATCGTCTCAGCTGCCATCCGGGTCCTCTGCTGCTGCCCTTCCTTCTCCCTCTTCTGTCCAGAACGAACTGACCACTCGGCTATTTGATGCCCTCAGCCAATCGCCACCTTCTGTGGAAACATTTTCAGCTGCCCGGAAAATGAGCCATGCACTCCAAGCAGCAGCAGGGGCAGGTGGAACTGCAGCTGATACGACGGCTACAAATGCTGCATCTTCTGCTGCTCCTGTTGCTGCTGCTACTACAACCATCATGAATGCTGCACCTGCAGCTCCTTCTGCAAACACTGTCTCTGCAGCTACAACTGCCTTGTCTGCTGCTAAAACTGCTGCTATGCCTTCAGCTGTTGCCGCGTCTGCTTCACAGGTTGATGGAGACTTGCACCTCTCTCGAATTTCATCCTCGCCCACACTCGAGTCTTCCACACTCCCTCACTCCCTCCCTCACTCGCGCTCACTCACCCTCTCACACTCGCTCTCCCACTCTCACTCACTCTCCCATCCCCGCTCGCTCTCCCACTCACGCTCCCTCTTCCAATCCCACTCGCCCTCACTCCACCGCTTCCCAAGCCAGGCTTCATTGTCCACCTCCCCTCACCACCCTCACTCCCTCCTCCCCTCCTCTCTTCCCCTCCGCTCCCCTCTCTCTAACCTGGAGCTGCAACAGCAGCAGCAGCAGCAGCAGCACTGGCACCAGCAGCAGTTACAAGACCAGTTACAGCAGCAGCAGCAGCAGCTGCAACTGCAACATTTACAGCAGCACCACTTGCAGCAGCAGCGCCAGTTGCAGCGGCTCCAAGCACAGCAACAGCAGGCGATGCTTTTTGCTACAGCTACCACCAACACCACCACCACCAGCAGCAGCGGCCCCAGCGGACCCAGCAGCAGCGTTTGTTTCCCAGCGTCCATTCATAGTGGGCCTTCCCCTGCCGCTGCAGCTGCAGCAGCAAAGGCAGTGCCTCGTGCTCTCTTCTTCTCCTCCTCCCCCCGCCCCATCCCTGTCTACCAGCAAATCATGGTTCCCCAGGCAGCCTTGACCACCACGGCCCACACCATGCTCCCGGACCAAACAATGCTGCCGAACCAACCAGTGCTGCCGAACCAACCAGTGCTGCCAAACCAATCAATGCTGCCGAACCACAGCATGCTGCCGGACCAGAGCATGCTGCCGAACCAGGGCATGGTGGTCGGGGGCATGCTGCCGCAGCAGGCTGTGCTGGTGAACCAAGCCATGCTGCAAAGCCGTGGCATGATGGCACAACAGGGCTTGATGGGGCAGCATGGCATGATGGTGCTGCCACAAAGCATGCTACCAAGTCAGGCAATGGTGCTGCCCCAAGGTATGGGGATGCAAGACCAAGTCATGCTGCCAGGGATGCTCCCCCCTTACCCCTCGTCCCTCGCTTCTGCTGCTTCCGCGGGTGGTCGTGCTGCTGCAGCTGCTGCCGATCCTGATGCCACCAACCCGGCCGCGCACGTTGTCCCCGGCTCCCTCCCCTCGTGGTGGAAGGGAAGTCTACCAGTGGTGCCACCCACTGTGCACTCACACAGCGCTGCAAGAGGCAAGGTGGGGCGACGGGCGGGTGCTGGTGGTGCTGCAGGTGCGGGTACAGCACCAGGTGGCGTGACAGAGCATGCAGGCATGCAGAAGGCAGCAGCTTGTGCTGTGGCAGCTGGTCCAAAGGATGATTCGTTGAAGAAGATTGGGAAAAGCATGGAGGAGCAGGATGAGAAGGATGAGAAGGTTGAGAAGGCACGCACGCCTGCAGTAGAAGGTGGAGGTGTGGCAGGTCGTGGTGTAGCTTCGGAGAGCAGAGCAGGGGCGGTGGAGCATGCGAGCATGGAGGAGCATCGTGACGAGGACATGTACACAGTGCTAGGGCATGCAGGAGACGAGGGGCAGGGAGGGGTTGATGCTGTGAGGGCAGCTGAGGCAGCGTGGCAAGGAGGTGACGAGACGATGATGCAGAGTGCATGGTGGGATGCAGCAGAAGCAGCAGCGGCGGCAACGGCGGCGGTGGCAGGAGAGGTCGGAGATGCATGGATGCCATTTGACTTCTGCCCTGACCCCTCCACTTCTCCAAACCTCACTGGTTGAATAAGAGGGGGGAGTAGAGGCTGTATAGAAAATAGTAGCAGAGAGTTCCAGGTTAGGTATCGGGTTTGGTTGCGGGTTGGTTCTGGGATTTTCATTGGAAGCTTAGGATGAGTTGCAGGCAGCACATGTAGTGCCAAGGTTAGCCGCTCTCCACTTGTACATGTATGCCTTTCTCATGTGCATAATTAGCCACATTCAAGCTCATATATATATGGAGAAATATGAGAATGAAATAATAAGACAGGGTACACAAATGGCACTGCTTTATAGCATTTTCTATCCACATTTTCAACGACGTGACAGGCGAGTATGTATGTACCAGCTCGATCGGCCACCTAGCGATAAGGTGCTGGGGAGCCACCAATTTCGCCACTTTCACCCCATCAGCGCGGCTTCCACCAATCAAAGCCGACTATAGTTGTCAGGTAGTTCTGGGTCTCCCCTGCAAAAGAGCAACCTTATGCTGTGGGTTCTGGCTGGTTTTGTGAAGTTTGACGGCGCCATCAATTTAGTTTCCTCAGGAACCTAGTTGAATAATTCCCACTGCAAAGACTTTCACACCGTAAGGGAACTCACGTTCATCCAGGTACTGACCCCGAGACATTTGCTGCGTGATAGGGTAAGATGTACAAAATACTTGAAACAGCATGTTTCGTGGGGGAAACTTATACGATGAGCAGCCACCTCAACACAAACTGGGAGTTGCCTGTGAAACGGCCCAAATTCCCTGACAGCAGCTTCGGGTGTTTCAACTTCAATTCTGCCTTCCAGCCTCAAGCTAGGGTTTCGTGCTCCCTGAGACTGGCTCTCAGTTCCTTGTCAGTGCGTGTGGCCCAACCTTATCCCTTCGGCGGCAAGTTAGCGGGTTGCGGGACTCTTGTTTTCGCGTTTTGCGGTTCGGCCACTTGTGGTCCCCATTTCCAGCGAATCAGATGGCGTTTTAACCTTTATTTTCTCGCCAACGGTTCTGGCTCCCCTTGGCGCCAACGGTCCAACGACTCAGTTCTTACCCCCAGCAGCGATTAGGACCCGCCAAGCTTTTTCCCATCGCGGCCCGGTTCTTACCCCACGCTCCTCCCATTCAGCGTCAACCGTTCCTCCGTTCGATCGTCCGTCAGCTTCCCGTTTCCCAACCGTCTCGCCTCATTCGCACCTCGCAATGTTCTCCCATTCGTCTCAATTTCACACCAATTTTTTGAAATCAATTTTGCCCTTCAGCCCACATTGAGACTATACTTTCCAGAATCACCATTCAACCTTCAGTCCGTGCGGTCCTTGGTAGGAAGATGAGAACGACTCGGAACAGCTCGGAACCCTTTAAAGCGAACCGGAGTCTCGTTGCTGCCGAACCAGTTATTTCGACGCAGTGCGAACTTCGCGACAACATTTTCCCGGGGACCCCATGTGTAAGTAGTAGTTTCTTTCTAATTCTCGACTCTATCCAAGTTTCTTCGTGTAGTTTCTTCGTTTCGTGTAGTTTCTTTCATTATCAGCTGCTTTTCTGACTCTTCGTTCTTTCCGTGCAGGTTCATCCGTAACACGAAGATCGGCATTGGCTCAAGACGTGTCGATTTGCGAAACGCGAGCATGCTGAATGTGCGACGAGCGGCATTTCCACTGCACGGTAAGCTTGACGGAGATGGGAACGCGTACTACTTCGTTTTGCGAGTCTCACTTTTGCGCTTATCGACGCGTACTAACGCCATTTCCTTTCTTTCGTCGCTTGCAGCTTCTCTTGACATTGTCGGAGCAATATTCTTCGTCTTGCGGTCAACGATCACGTGGTTCAAGGCAACTCTCGTCTTCATGACGTCAACGCTCGTGTGCGTGGAGTCAACGCGCGTGTGTCGAGACAGCGCGCGTCGGCGTGGAGTTAACGCGCGTGCTGCCTCGAGCCGACAACGACAATGATGAGTGTCACTGCCTTCTCGCTGTCCATCCGCATCTGTGCTTGCTCGCGTCGCATGCTCTGTAGCACACCCAAGGGTCCCCCCGTTTCAGGTTCCAGGTGTAGGTATTCCCCCACTCCAGGTGCATAACAGGTAAGCCGCGGTACAGGTTCGGCCTTGGTACGGTACAGACTACGGTGTCCCTCCCGGCGGTGTGCTATAGCAGCCTCTGCTTCGCCGCTTCGTTCTGCGCCTTCATTTTCGCCGCTCTTTCTGCAGTTTGTCCCCTTGTCTCACTCGCGTGTACGCCGCTCGCCCTCCCCGTTGTTCCAGGAGCCGCTTCTCGACTCGCTTTCGCTCAACGCGCCCGGTGCCACCGCGAGTGAACGCCCTGTCGTTGCGAGTCAACGCGCTGTCGTTGCGAGTCAACGCGCTGTCGTCGCGAGTCAACGCGCTGTCGTCGCGAGTCAACGCGCTGTCGTCGCGAGTCAACCCGCCGCGAGTCAACGCGCTTCAGCCTTCAGCGAGATGAGTATTTCTCAGCTCTTGATCCTGTTGGCGCTTGTCGCTCGTATGATCTTGTTGCTTTCGTGGCTCTAGCTGCCTGTAGCACACCCGAGTCCCCCTTGGTACGTTCAAAACTTGTCTTCCCCTGGTATGGTAAGGTAAAGATCCCCGTTTCCCCTTGGGTGTGTTACAGAAGCTGCGCCTCCGCTCCCGTGTTTGCTTGACAAGCGTCCGTTGCTTGAATTTGATCAAGCTGCAATTACTTGGTCATCAATTCGTCACAACCTCTCCCCTTCCTCGTCCGTCCGTCCTCCCTGTCCCTCAGTCTCCCTGGTGGCCTCGACGCTTCGCGGAGCATCGCTTCGGAAACGCGTTGAGGCGCGTCAAGGAGAGTGGATGTGGGGATGCGGGGCGGACGCAGCAGCGGAAGCAGCAGCGGGTCGTCTTGGGCTCTGCAGCGCGCCTCACACACCCACCAGGAGATGAGTATCGCTTTTCCGCTTGTCATTTTGCATGCCACTGTTCCCCTGCCTCGTCTCTCTAGCTGTCCGTAGCACACCCAAGTCCCCCCTTTTTGTTGAAGGTTCAGACGATCAGGTAACCCCCTCGGTTGGTATAAAACTTTTTACTCCTGGTACGGTATGGTAAAGGTCCCCGTTTCCCCTTTGGGTGTGCTACAGAAGCTCTACCTCCCCTCCCGTATTTGCTACACGAATGCCTGTTGCTTGCATGTGACTTTTATGCACTCCTCTTACTTGTTCCATCACAACCCCTCACCCTCCTCGCCCCCCTCCTCGTCCCCCTCCTCGCCCCTCCGCTCTCCCTGTACCTCAGTCCCCCTGCTGGCCGCGAGAAGCGTCAAGGAGAGTCGCTGTGGGGACATGGGGCGGAGGCGGGTCGTCATGGACTCTTCAGCAACCATCAAGTGAAAAAAGGAGATGAGTATCGCTCCACCATCCACCCTCGCCCTCACCGCTTTTCCGCTTGTCATTTCGCATGCCCACTGTTTCGCTGCCTCGTCTCCCTAGCTGTCCGTAGCACACCCAAGTCCCCCCCTTTCAATTTAAGGTTCAGACGATCAGGTAACCCCCTCGGTTGGTATAAAACTTTTTCCTCCTGGTACGGTATGGTACAGGTTCCCGTTTCCCCTTTGGGTGTGCTACAGAAGCTCTACCTCGTATTTGCTACACAAGTGTTCGTTGCTTGCATGTGACTTTACTGCAGTCCTCTTACTTGTTTCATTACAACCACCCCCCCTCCTCGCCCCCCTACTCGCCCCTCTCCCCTCCCTGTTCCCCACCCCTCCCAGTCCCTCAGTCCCTTCGCAGGTCGCGAGGAGCATGTAGGAGCGTCGCTGTGGGGACATGGGGCGGAGGGGGTAGTTTTGGGCTCTGCACCGCGCGGCACACACCAACCAACCAGATGAGTATCTCTCCATCACCCACCCCCCCTCTGCCTGTAAGCGTTTTTTCCGCTCGTCACTTCACATGGCCTGTTTCACTTCCTCGTCACTCTAGCTGTCTGTAGCACACGCAAGTCCCCCCCCTTTTCGTACCTAGAGGTTCAGGTAACCCCCTTGGTAGGTGCAAAACTTTTCTCCCTTGGTACGGTATGGTGAAGGTATCCCACTCCCCTTGTGTGTGCAACAGAAGCTATACCTCCCCTTTCCATTCGCATCTTGCCACTCGCACTCGTCTCCCTCGGACTGGACTGCATGTGACTCGACTTCACTCCTCCTCCTTGTTCGTGATTCTAACACCCCTCCTCCCCTCGCTCGCCTGCCCTCCCCTCCCTGACTCTCAGTGCCCGCGGGTGGCAAGGACTGTCGGCGAATGCTTCTCAAGGGACGCGGGGCGAGGAGGCAGCAGGAAAGGCGAAGGCAGCAGGAGAGGCGAAGGCAGCAGGAGAGGCGAAGGCAGCAGGAGAGGCGAAGGCAGCAGGAGGGGAGAAGGCAGCAGGAGAGACGAAGGCAGCAGGAGAGGCGAAGGCAGCAGGAGAGGCGAAGGCAGCAGGAGAGGCGAAGGCAGCAGGAGGGGCGAAGGCAGCAGGAGAGACGAAGGCAGCAGGAGAGGCGAAGGCAGCAGGAGAGGCGAAGGCAGCAGGAGAGGCGAAGGCAGCAGCGGAGGCAGCAGCGGGTCGTCATGGGCTCTCCAACAACCATCAAGCGAAAAAGGAGATGAGTATCGTTTTCCTAACCATTCTCCCTTCGCCCTTGACCGTTTTGCTCCCTCGTCATTCTTGCATTGCTGCCTGTAGCACACCCAAGTTCCCCCCGCTTTCTCTAAGGTTCAGACTTCAGGTAACCCCCTTGGTAGGTACAAAATTTCAAGCCTGGTATGGTAAGGTAAAGGTACCCCAGTCCCCTTGGGTGTGAGACGGCAGCTGTGCTTCCCCCCCCCTGTTTGCATCTGGAATCGACTGCTTGAGATTTGACTCGCTCCTCTTTCTTGCTCTTGATTCTAATCTCCCAATCCCCTCCTCCTCCCCCTCCCGCCCCTCTGTCCCCTTTTGTCCTTTTATCCCAGTCTCCTCCTGACATCAAGCGACATGGGGCGCAGGATGAGCAGCAGAGATAGCAGCGGAGGGAGCAGCGGGGGGAGCAGCAGCAGGCGGTCCTCATGGGCTTCACCATCCAGCAGCCAAGAAAAAGATAAGTGTCGCTGCACCACTCTCCCTGTGTTCGCCTTTGATCGTTTTGCCGCTTTTCATCTCGCTTGCTTCCTGTTTCACTGCCTCGTCACGCTAGCCCGCTGTAGCACACCCGAGTCCCTCCCCCCTTTGTTTGGGTAAGGTTCAGACTTCAGGTAACCCCTTGGTAGGTACAAAACTTCTACCCCTGGTATGGTAAGGTAAAGGTATCCCTCTTCCTTGGGTGTGCGACAGAAGCTGTTCTTCCCCTCCCACATTGGCATCTGGATGTGTTTGCTTGTGATCTGACTGATTCCTCTCTCTTGCCCTTGGTCTAATCCCCCACCCCCCCTCCCCTTTCGCTCTCCCCTCCCTGAATCTCAGAGCTCTATTGGTGTCAAGCGGCGTGGGGTGCGGAGCTAAGTTGGATCTTACGTTTACGGTTCCTTACGTTTTCGTAAAATTACGACAATTTTTACGTTTACGAACGGTGGCCCTGATTCGGCCTTACGTTTACGGTCACCTCAAAACTTTTTTGAGCTGCCCAAGGGAAAAGAAATGACCAGAGTATTAGGGGGATTCATTGGGTAAACCATGAATCTGAATTCTCGATTCAGATCCAAGTTCGACAAGGGTGGTGTCAACCTAGCAGCTCGTTCGTAATCTATCGTGTTTCTCTCCTACTAACCAGGTCAACGCTGAATCTGAAACTTTCACGGACTCAAAAGGCCCTCCATACGTAGTAAAGTCGCTATTCTAGAAAAACACACGTCGGATTAGTAGTAAGGATCTAGTACACGTACATAATCCTGGAAAAAAAAGCTCTAAACTTTTTTTTCCTGCCCGCCTCATACTTACGCGTAATTTACGTTTTCGTTTACGTTTACGCGAAATTTACGTTTACGTGACCTCCAAAAACGTAAGAGCCCAACTTAGGTGCGGAGGGAGCAGCAGAGGGAGCAGCAGCTGCAGGGGGTCTTCTTGGGCTCTCCAGCAACCAAGAAAAAGATGAGTATCGTTTCACCACGCACCCCGCCTTCGCCTTTGACCCTTTTGCCACTTGTCATTTTGCTTGCTTCCAGTTTTGCTCTCTCATTGCTCTGGCTGCCTGTAGCACACCCGAGTCCCAATTTTGCTCTTGGTAAGGTTCAGACTTCAGGTAACCCCCTTGGGTGGTACAAAACTTTTACCCCTGGTATGGTAAGGTAAAGGTATCCCACTCCCTTTGGGTGTGCGACAGCAGCTGTGCCTTTCCTCCCTTATTCACATCTGGAATCGACTGCTTGTGATCCGACTGACTCCCCTTACGTGCCCTTGGTCTAATCCCCCACCCTCCGTCCCTTTCGCCCTCCCCTCCCTGACTCTCAGAGCCCTGTTGGTGTCAAGCAACGTGGGGCAGAGGGAGCAGCAGAGGGAGCAGCAGAGGGAGCAGCAGCAGAGGGTCCTCGTGGGCTTCACCATCCAGCTGCCAAGTAACAGATTAGTGTCTCTATACCAATAACTCCTCCTTCACCTGTTTTTCCGCTGGTCATGTTGCATGCTCCCTGTTTCACTGCTTCATGCGCATTGCTCGTCCATCTGTCAGTCTGTGGCGCACCCAATCCCCCCTTCCTTGGTATGGTGAGTTGAGGTTCAGGTCCCCCAGTCGTCCTCCTGGTATGGTGAGGTGAGGTGAGGTTCAGGTTTCCCCCAGCCGTCCTCTTTGTATGGTAAGGTGAGGTTCAGGTCCCCCTAGCCCTCCCTCCCCTTGGGTGCACCACAGCAGCCTTGGCCGTGCGTGCCTTGCTTGCCTGCCTCGCTTGCAGCATGCAGCTGGCGGCTCTGAAAGCGCATCTGCTGTTCCCACTCACCCACTCCCGCCTTTGTCCCCTTTCTACTCGCACCTCCATCCCGCTCCCAGGGCATCCCAGAGAGAGCAGCACCTAGCGCCCAGCAAGCAGCACGCGGAGAGGACTGCAGCTGCTGCATCCGCCTGTCTGCTCCAACCTGCTTCAACTCTGCCCATCAGCGCCGCACTGCACCGCACCGCAGCTAAGTGTCTTACCCTTCGCTTGCCACCTGCCGTGGTTCTTCATCCGTTGGCTTTTTCGCCGCTCGCTTCCATGCTCTATTTCATGGCTTGCCACTTGCCTTGTCAACTGCTGCTCTTGTTGCTTTCGTCCCGGCTGCACTTGTTGCCTCTTGACTCGCTCTCCAGTTGTCACTTACTAATCGCCTTCTCTGCACTCTTCCCTCCCCGCCCCAGCAGGCTCAATGGCGACTGCTGCTGGTGGTTGGTGAGGGGAGGAGTGGTGGTGGTTGGTGGTGGTGGTGGTGATGGTGGTGGTGGTGGTGGTGGTGGTGGTGGTGGTGGTGGTGGTAGCGGTGGTGGTGGTTGGTGGTGGAGTGGAGAGTGGTGGTGGTGGATGGTGGTGGAGAGTGGTGGTTGGAAGGGGTCCTTGGGACTGAATGCCAATAGCCGCACGTTTAAGGCATAATGGACGATCACCACACCCTGCGGCCGGGGGTGTGGTGTGGCTCCCCTCTTGCCACGTCGGTGCGGGTTCAGTTCTCGGGGTTTCCTCTCAGCCCCACTCTGGCGTGACGGGGAGTGGTGGGAAGTGGTGGTGGTGCGGTGGAGGGAGAGTGAGCCCCGCTGGGTGAGGAGTGGTGGTGTTGGTGGTGGGGAGTTTTGGTGGATGGATCCCCACCCGCTGGTTGTGGCTGTGGTGGTAAACTTGATGGCGGCACCGAGTCGTGGTGGTGTCGGTTGGTGGCACTGAGTGGTGGTGGTGTTGGTGGGAGCTCCAGTATTAAAAACAGTGGCTTAGTGCAACAAATAGTGTCCAGTAAGGCTGTGTAGATGAGATATAGCTGTGTAGAGGAACAATATAATCCGTATATATAGGCTGTGTCGGATAAGCTTAATCACAGTGAAAGTTGAGATATAGCTCTGTAGGGAAACAATATAATCCGTATTTCAATAGTTATTGTGCACTTTCAACAGAAGCATCTGTTAACCAATTCTGCTGAGAGAAGTAGTGAACCTTCACGAGACAGTCGAGAATATATTTCTGCTACACTTCACCGTCATATTCAAAAATATTCGTCGTTCCCCTGGTTATACCGAGCATTCCCACCTACTATCTTACATGACTCATGAGGCATGAATCTTTCATACACATGGTCTGCCTGCTCTTCCGCTGACGAAGCCGCTCAGTCGTACGGTACGTCCAGAGATTTGCAGTTCGCCACCTTCAGCGGGTTGGAATCACACTCGCTGCGAGCAGCTTGCTCGGAACTGCGAAGAACAGGTGGTTCCGGCTTTGTATTCGATACTCTTCGACCTGCCATGCGAGTGCGATTCGTCGCACAACCTTAACCTCCTACGTTTAGTCACCCGCTGTGCGACATCATCGTCCGTGCAAATCATCTTCCTGCGTTACCAACCGTTGTCGACTGACTGTACGATCCGACGCGGTCGCACGGACTCCACTGTAAACGAACCCTAGACCGTACGGAACCGACGGTGCTGCGCGGGAGGCATGTCGATCCGCGGCATGGTGACGGGCGGCGGGAGGTGCTCCGTACCCGGTGAGCGGCCGTCGGCGTCGAGCAGCAACCCGCTCGGCGCGCTTGCGGATTCCATCCTCGGCTCCGCCGCCAAACAGCAGGTGAGCACACGCTCTGGCGAGATTAGAGTCCGCTTATAACGAATAAAGGTATCGCGCAGCAGGTCAGCGATGCTCTAGTAGCAGCGAGCAGCAGGAGAGCTTCGTTTTGGTTTCCACGAGCTTCCTCGCGACGCGCGAGTCCGACGGCTGGCCCTGGGGGTGAGCTAGGCCGATCATGGTGGCTCTCTCGTTTGAGCATGGCGTGGAGACGGAGACGCATGAACGCGCGCGTCCATGCTCCCCTCGTCACGTCACACCAGGCATCCGACGCGACGTTACCCGCATGAAGCAGGTGTTTCCAGCCTGACGCGCGTCGTCCCGCTCGCCGCCCTCATTCATTCCTTCCACTCGTACTCCCACCGTGCTGCATGCTCGCTCGCTGCCTCCCGCCATGTTCCATGCTTGTGCGCTACCCTCACTCTCTGTGTGTTTCTTCTCTGTGCTCGCCTCGGCAGGAGAGGGTTCGCGAGCTTCCGAGCCTGGCAGGTCCGGGCCAAGCCTCGGGCAGCAACCTGTTCGGTCCGGCGGAAGCAGGAGCAGGCCCGGCGATGATGCCGCTGCCAGGAGCCGACATGCAGAGCGCAATGGGCGGACCCATGGGGGCCATGGGGGGCATGAGCCCGTCAATCCAGGTGAGTTGACTCAGGAGCAGGCCCTGCGATGATGCCGATTCCAGGAGCCGACATGCATGCCGCAATGGGCGGACCCATGGGGGGTATGGGGCCGTCAATGCAAGTGAGTGCAGCAGAAGGCTGGGTTGAAGGTGTTATGATGGAGCCGTGTGGATCAGTTTATAGGCGTGCTGGACGTGTACCAGGGAATGCTCGCATGGTGTGAAATCTGTGCGATTATGCTTGCTTTGTGGCTACTGTGCAGATTTCTCTTCGTTAGAACTCTTCCTCGGTCTCTCCTGTGACAACCCTTCTCCACCTCTATTTCCGTCCCCTCTCTTTCTCCTCCCGCCCTCCCGTCTCCCCCCTGCAGGCGCAGCAGTTCCTCTCCTCCTTTCACACAGCAGGCCGAACAGCAGCGCCCGGGCCACCCGATGCTCAGCTAGAGGCCCTGTGGAACGAGGCTCGGCACGCCCAGGCCTTGCCGCCAGGCATGGCAGCAGGCATGGCGCCGCCGGACGCAGCAGCAGCGGCGCATTTCCGCGAGTTTGAGCAGATCTTTGGCGGCATGTCGCTGGATGGTGGCGCTGCTTCTGCCAGTGGCGATGCTGCCATGCAGCCGCCTGCAAGTGAGTCGATTGTTGGGATTCCTGTGAAGGATTGGATGTTCTGGGTCTTGTATTGCGTGCCAACTTGTGCTCGTGCCTATCAGTTTTGTTCCGAAACCTGTAGCAGAGGGTTCTCCTTTCTCTCTCCCTCTGCTCTCCCTTCCACTCCCCTCCTCTTCCCACCCTCTCCACCCTCGTACCTGTCATCCATATTCCCCATGTCTGTTTTCCCCAGTTCCCATTTCCCCCAATTCTCCTTCCCCCATCACCTCATCCCTATCCAGCTTCCCACCATACTCCATCAACCCATCCCCTATCTCCCCATCTCCGCATCTTCCCACCCCCATTCCCACCCGCCATCCCCCAATTCTCCCACCTCGCCATCCCTCCCGCCAGTCCCCGGGCTGCCCCCCCAGCAGCAGCAGGCAGTGCGCGCACTACTACACTCCTTCCTCTCCTCCACACAAGCGGGCGTGCCCCTCCCCGCACACCCCCACGCGCCCCTGCCCCCCCTGGCGCACCTCTCCCCCGCGGACCGCGCGCGCATCCGCAACCGCTCCTCCATCCTCGCCCGCCACGTGTTTGCACAGCAGGGGGGGGCGGGCGCGCAGGGGGAGGGCTTCGCCTCTGCGCAGGTGGCCGCGCTGCTGCGCTCCCTGGGCATAGAGGACGTGGGGGAGGGCGCAGGGGGCGCGGAGGGCGCGGGGGGCGCGCTCATGGGCGCGCCTGGCCCGCTGGGGGGCAGGTTCCGCGAGTTTGAGGACTTTTGGAAGGATGCAGGGGAGGTGGCGGGTGGGGGGGGGATGGTGGCGGGTGCGGGCGGAGGGGGGGGCGCAGGGGGATGGGTGGGGGAGTTTGAGGCGCAGCAGCAGCAGAGGTTGCGGGAGGAAGGGGGGGAGAGTAGCAGCACCGGCTGGGCGGACGAATTTGCTGAGGTGGGACAGGAGAAGAGCCGTGAGGGCAGGATGTGGGTGTGGGTGCGGGTGTGAGGTGGGGTGTGCGGTGGGGTGTGTGGTGGGGTGTGTGGTGGGGTGTGCGGGTGGGTGTGCGGTGGGGTGTGCGGTAGGGTATGGATGTGAGGCTTGGTGTGGGTGTGTGGTGGTACTCTCATATGTGCAGCTCTCTCTTTCCGCAGACTTGCTCTTCCCGTCCTCCTTCTTGCCATGCTCTTTCTGTTGCTGTCGTATCCCCATCCCGTCTCCCTATCCCCATTCCCCTTCCCCTTCCCCCTTCCTCCTGCCCCCATCTCTCTGTCCTTTTTTTTCTTTGCCTGCATGTCCCCAATGCCACCCTTCTACCCCTATCCTTCCTCCCTGATCTGTCAACCTCCAACTCCTTGTGTGCATTCCACTGCGCTCATCCACTTTCGTCCATCCCCCATTGCCCTCTCCCTGTCTTTCCCCCCTCTCCCTGTCTTTCCCCCCTCTCCCTGTCTGCCCCCCCTCTCCCTGTCTGTCCCCCCTCTCCCTGTCTGTCCCCCCTCTCCCTGTCTGCCCCCCCGTCCCTCTCTATCCATCCTATCCCTTGTTGACCGTCTTTATCTGGTGGCCCCTCCCAGGACTGGCAGCAGCAGCAGCGCGTGAGGGAGGAGGCGAGGGCAGGGGGGCCACGCAGCGAGGCGGAGAGGGTGGCAGCGAGGCAGCAGACACAACGCATCGTGGACACACTCGCGCAGGACCCCAACCCCAAGTTCCAGGTAAGCCTTTTCTCCCCTGCCTCGTGCTACGAGAGTTAGGGATTCCAACCGTGAGTTCCAGGTGAGTTCTGCCCACCGTCCCCTCGCCCGCGCAGTGAAGCGGAGAGGGTGGCAGCGGGCTGCAGACACAGCGCATCGTGGACACACTCGCCCAGGACCCCAACCCCAAGTTCCAGGTAGGGCATTTTCTTGCCTGCATCCAATCTTGAGCGGGTGGGGATGCCAATCTCCAGTCTTGCAATCTGGCTTTCCACCATTTAGCTCATGACTGATGGCTGATTGCTGATGGCTGATAGCATAAGGGTTGTTGGGTCTCCCTTCTTCCCCCCTCCTCTGTCCCTTCACGCCTCCACCCACAGCAATGCAAGTTCCTGCAGTTTGTGTCGAAGATGAGTCGCGGCGAGCTGATAGCTGATAGCATAGGGAGTTTGGTTGTCAGTCTTTCCCCGTCCCCCCTCTCCCCCCCCCCCTTTCCCCCCCCAGCAATCCAAGTTCCTGCAGTTTGTGTCCAAGATGAGTCGCGGTGAGCTGATAGCCGAGGAAGGCGGAGTGAGGGAGGTGTCGCCTGCAGAAGCAGCGGCGGCGGCAGCAGCGGAGCAGTGGGCGAGCGAGTTTGAGAACCTTCACCAGCACGAGCACGTGCACTCGCATGCCATCAAGGCTGATGCTGATTGGGCCACTGAGTTCGCTGCCCGGGTAAGTTGCTGTGAATGGAGGGGTCGTGGTAGTGCAGGGAGAGGGGAGTGCTGGGTAGTTTGCGCAAGCAGTGGGCGAGCGAGTTTGAGAACCTGCACCAGGACGAGCACGTGCACTCGCATGCCATTAAGGTTGATGCTGATTGGGCCATTGAGTTAGCTGCCTGGGTAAGACGCTTGACAGGGCTGGATGTGGGTTGTGAGGATTTCTTAGGGTGACTTAAGTAGGCTGGGCCATGGAGGTTTCCCTCTCCATCATCCCGCCTCACTTCCCCTGCTCATCTGCGCCCATCCCATGGCAGAACGAGTCATCAACGTCGCTGGATTCAAGGGACTGGGCGGACGAGTTTGCACAGCAGATGGCACACGCACACCCTCATGGGCACACACACGCGGAGGGCGAGGGCGTGGTGGAGGACGGCGATCCCAGCGCATGGCTCGAGTCGTACGAGCGGTATGCATGCTCTCTTCCCCGTAGTGCCTGGTCACCATAGCACCCACACACCCACATCTACACCCCCACGCACGGGCACACACACGCGGAGGGCGAGGGCTTGGTGGAGGATGGCGACCCCAGCGCATGGCTCGATCGAGTCGTGCGAGCGGTATGCATGCTCTCATCCCCATAGCGCCTCATCACCATGGTACCTCATTACCATTCCGCCTCATTACCATTACCATTACCATTCCGCCTCATTACCATTACCATTCCGCCTCATTACCATTACCATTCCGCCTCATTACCTTTAGCATTCTGCCTCTTTACCATTACCATTTCGCCTCATTACCATTACCATTCCGCCTCATTACCATTACCATTCCGCCTCATTACCATTACCATTCTGACTCATGACCATTACTATTCCGCTCATTACCTTTAGCATTCTGCCTCCTTACCATTACCATTCCGCCCGTTCCGCCTCATTACCATTACCATTCCGCCTCATTACCATATCGCCGTCTGCCATGCCATTCCCTTCCTTGCTGGCAGTCACAACTTTCCTCTGCTCTCTTCCTTATTCTTCCCCACCTCCCTCCTTCAATCCCTACACCCAGGTATGTGGAGGACCAGGCGCGGGACGAGCAGCAGCAGCAGGTGGATTGAGGGCTCTTTCCATTCGGTTTCTCAACTCTTCCTCCTCCCCTGCCCCTCCCCTCTCTCCGCCCCCTTCTCCCCCGCTCCCTCCAGCTACGTGGAGGAGCAGTTGAGGGACGAGCAGCAGAGGAGGGCGGAGTCATCCTCATCGCGCTGGCCCTACGCCTTTGCCGATAAGAACCCCTACGTGGGCCACCCCCATCCCTTCCAGCAGGGGCAGGACCTCTTCAGGCGGTGAGTGCCGCGTGCTGCACACTTGCCTTAGCATCGTTGTGTGTGCGAGCCCCTGCAGTCTGTACGCCAAGGAGAAGGTGGGGCGGTGTGGGGTGAGAGTTGTTGGTGAGGCTTGCTCTCCCTTAAATGGCAACTTGTGCGTGCATGATGCATGGGCATGCTCACTCGCTCTCTTCCCCGCATCCCAATGTGCCCGTGGCGTGCATACGGTCTGCATCCATGCATCTGTGTGCGTGCGTACTGTGTGCATGCATGCGTGCATGTGCATGTGACCCGTGCCACATGCGGCCCCCCCTTCCCCCCCCTCCCCCTCCCCCGCAGAGGGCTATAAAGTGAGGCGATACTGGCGTTGGAGGAGGAAGTTTTGCGCAACGAGGGCAACGCTGAGTCCTGCATGATGCATTGCCATACTCTTTGCGAATCCTCCCTCCCCTTTCCCCACATACACAGGGGGCTGCTCAGTGAGGCGATACTGGCATTGGAGGCGGAAGTTTTGCGCAACGAGGGCAACGCCGAGGCGTGGCGCCTGCTGGGCGTGTCACACGCTGAAAACGACGACGATAGACAGGTGGGTTGCTCGTGCTCGGAGGAGCACAGGTTGCACGCACATGGGCTCCTCAGCATCGCCCAGTCACTGTGGGACCTGTCTATGAGAGATGAGGTGGAGGCGGGCAAGAGACATAATCATCCCCATGGCATCCCCATGGCATCCCCATGCCATCCCCATGCCATCCCCATGCCATCCCCATGCCATCCCCATGCCATCCCCATGCCATCCCCATGCCATCCCCATGCCATCCCCATGCCATCCCCATGCCATCCCCGTGCCATCCCCGTGCCATCCCCATGCCATCCCCATGCCATCCCCGTGCCATCCCCATGCCATCCCCATGCCATCCCCATGTCATCCCCATGCCATCCCCGTGCCATCCCCATGCCATCCCCGTGCCATCCCCGTGCCATCCCCATGCCATCCCCGTGCCATCCCCGTGCCATCCCCATGCCATCCCCGTGCCATCCCCATGCCATCCCCATGCCATCCCCATGCCATCCCCATGCCATCCCCGTGCCATCCCCGTGCCATCCCCATGCCATCCCCGTGCCATCCCCGTGCCATCCCCATGCCATCCCCGTGCCATCCCCGTGCCATCCCCATGCCATCCCCGTGCCATCCCCGTGCCATCCCCATGCCATCCCCGTGCCATCCCCGTGCCATCCCCATGCCATCCCCGTGCCATCCCCGTGCCATCCCCATGCCATCCCCGTGCCATCCCCGTGCCATCCCCATGCCATCCCCGTGCCATCCCCGTGCCATCCCCATGCCATCCCCGTGCCATCCCCCATGCGCTCATGCTCGCAGGCCATAGCAGCCATGACGCGAGCGCGGGACGCCGATCCCACCAACCTGGATGTGCTCCTCGCCCTGGGCGTCAGCCACACCAACGGTCAGTCATTGTGTGTCATGTCATGCGACCCACGCACCCCTTTTTGTTGGCTCATGGCCCAGAAAGGCATGTGCTGGACGTGCTGCTCGCCCTGGGCGTCAGCCACACCAACGGTCAGTCACGCTCGTGTCTGTCAGCCACACACTCATCGCTGTACGTTCACTTACGGGCGAGGAAGGTCTTCGCGCAAGTGTCCATATCAAACACCATCCTCTCCTCCTCCTTGTCCCCGTGTTTTGGCTCTTCCCTGCCTGCCCTCCCCTAACATCAGTCACATCTCACCATAGTGCGATGCCATTGCGCCTACCTGCACCATTCACACGTTCATCCCACTCACGTATCTTTCGCCCCCTCCAATCCTTCTCGCAAACGCTGTTTCCTCTTGCTGCCGCCATCAGAGCTGGAGCAAGGAGAGGCGCTGTACCACCTGCGCAGCAGGCTGCAGACTAGTAACACAGCTGAGCGTGCTAGCAACGCAGCTGAGCGTGCTAGCAACGCAGCAGAGCGTGCTAGCAACGCAGCTGAGCGTGCTAGCAACGCAGCAGAGCGTGCTAGCAACGCAGCAGAGCGTGCTAGCAACGCAGCAGAGCGTGCTAGCAACGCAGCTGAGCGTGCTAGCAACGCAGCAGAGCGTGCTAGCAACGCAGCAGAGCGTGCTAGCAACGCAGCAGAGCGTGCTAGCAACGCAGCTGAGCGTGCTAGCAACGCAGCAGAGCGTGCTAGCAACGCAGCAGAGCGTGCTAGCAACGCTGCAGAGCGTGCTAGCAACGCAGCAGAGCGTGCTAGCAACGCTGCAGAGCGTGCTAGCAACGCAGCAGAGCGTGCTAGCAACGCAGCAGAGCGTGCTAGCAACGCAGCAGAGCGTGCTAGCAACGCAGCATTGCGTGCTAGCAACGCAGCAGAGCGTGCTAGCAACGCAGCAGAGCGTGCTAGCAACGCAGCAGAGCGTGCGAGCAACTCAGCAGAGCGTGCTAGCAACGCAGCAGAGCGTGCTAGCAACGCAGCATTGCGTGCTAGCAACGCAGCATTGCGTGCTAGCAACGCAGCAGAGCGTGCTAGCAACGCAGCAGAGCGTGCTAGCAACGCAGCAGAGCGTGCTAGCAACGCAGCAGAGCGTGCTAGCAACGCAGCAGAGCGTGCTAGCAACGCAGCAGAGCGTGCTAGCAACGCAGCAGAGCGTGCTAGCAACGCAGCAGAGCGTGCTAGCAACGCAGCAGAGCGTGCTAGCAACGCAGCAGAGCGTGCTAGCAACGCAGCAGAGCGTGCTAGCAACGCAGCAGAGCGTGCTAGCAACGCAGCAGAGCGTGCTAGCAACGCAGCAGAGCGTGCTAGCAACGCAGCAGAGCGTGCTAGCAACGCAGCAGAGCGTGCTAGCAACGCAGCAGAGCGTGCTAGCAACGCAGCAGAGCGTGCTAGCAACGCAGCAGAGCGTGCTAGCAACGCAGCAGAGCGTGCTAGCAACGCAGCTGAGCGTGCTAGCAACGCAGCTGAGCGTGCTAGCAACGCAGCTGAGCGTGCTAGCAACGCAGCATTGCGTGCTAGAATCGCAGCAGAGCGTGCTAGCAACGCAGCATTGCGTGCTAGAAACGCAGCTGAGCGTGCTAGCAACGCAGCTGAGCGTGCTAGCAACGCAGCAGAGCGTGCTAGCAACGCAGCAGAGCGTGCTAGCAACGCAGCAGAGCGTGCGAGCAACACAGCCGAGCGTGCTAGCAACGCAGCAGAGCGTGCTAGCAACGCAGCAGAGCGTGCTAGCAACGCAGCAGAGCGTGCTAGCAACGCAGCTGAGCGTGCTAGCAACGCAGCTGAGCGTGCTAGCAACGCAGCAGAGCGTGCTAGCAACGCAGCAGAGCGTGCTAGCAACGCAGCAGAGCGTGCTAGCAACGCAGCAGAGCGTGCTAGCAACGCAGCAGAGCGTGCTAGCAACGCAGCAGAGCGTGCTAGCAACGCAGCAGAGCGTGCTAGCAACGCAGCAGAGCGTGCTAGCAACGCAGCTGAGCGTGCTAGCAACGCAGCAGAGCGTGCTAGCAACGCAGCAGAGCGTGCTAGCAACGCAGCAGAGCGTGCTAGCAACGCAGCAGAGCGTGCTAGCAACGCAGCAGAGCGTGCTAGCAACGCAGCAGAGCGTGCTAGCAACGCAGCAGAGCGTGCTAGCAACGCAGCAGAGCGTGCTAGCAACGCAGCTGAGCGTGCTAGCAACGCAGCAGAGCGTGCTAGCAACGCAGCAGAGCGTGCTAGCAACGCAGCAGAGCGTGCTAGCAACGCAGCAGAGCGTGCTAGCAACGCAGCAGAGCGTGCTAGCAACGCAGCAGAGCGTGCTAGCAACGCAGCAGAGCGTGCTAGCAACGCAGCAGAGCGTGCTAGCAACGCAGCAGAGCGTGCTAGCAACGCAGCAGAGCGTGCTAGCAACGCAGCAGAGCGTGCTAGCAACGCAGCAGAGCGTGCTAGCAACGCAGCAGAGCGTGCTAGCAACGCAGCAGAGCGTGCTAGCAACGCAGCAGAGCGTGCTAGCAACGCAGCTGAGCGTGCTAGCAACGCAGCTGAGCGTGCTAGCAACGCAGCTGAGCGTGCTAGCAACGCAGCAGAGCGTGCTAGCAACGCAGCAGAGCGTGCTAGCAACGCAGCAGAGCGTGCTAGCAACGCAGCAGAGCGTGCTAGCAACGCAGCTGAGTGGGCTAGCAACGCAGCTGAGCGTGCTAGCAACGCAGCTGAGCGTGCTAGCAACGCAGCAGAGCGTGCTAGCAACGCAGCAGAGCGTGCTAGCAACGCAGCAGAGCGTGCTAGCAACGCAGCTGAGCGTGCTAGCAACGCAGCTGAGCGTGCTAGCAACGCAGCAGAGCGTGCTAGCAACGCAGCAGAGCGTGCTAGCAACGCAGCAGAGCGTGCTAGCAACGCAGCAGAGCGTGCTAGCAACGCAGCAGAGCGTGCTAGCAACGCAGCAGAGCGTGCTAGCAACGCAGCAGAGCGTGCTAGCAACGCAGCTGAGCGTGCTAGCAACGCAGCTGAGCGTGCTAGCAACGCAGCAGAGCGTGCTAGCAACGCAGCAGAGCGTGCTAGCAACGCAGCTGAGCGTGCTAGCAACGCAGCTGAGCGTGCTAGCAACGCAGCTGAGCGTGCTAGCAACGCAGCAGAGCGTGCTAGCAACGCAGCAGAGCGTGCTAGCAACGCAGCAGAGCGTGCTAGCAACGCAGCTGAGCGTGCTAGCAACGCAGCAGAGCGTGCTAGCAACGCAGCAGAGCGTGCTAGCAACGCAGCAGAGCGTGCTAGCAACGCAGCAGAGCGTGCTAGCAACGCAGCAGAGCGTGCTAGCAACGCAGCTGAGCGTGCTAGCAACGCAGCAGAGCGTGCTAGCAACGCAGCAGAGCGTGCTAGCAACGCAGCAGAGCGTGCTAGCAACGCAGCAGAGCGTGCTAGCAACGCAGCAGAGCGTGCTAGCAACGCAGCAGAGCGTGCTAGCAACGCAGCAGAGCGTGCTAGCAACGCAGCAGAGCGTGCTAGCAACGCAGCAGAGCGTGCTAGCAACGCAGCAGAGCGTGCTAGCAACGCAGCTGAGCGTGCTAGCAACGCAGCTGAGCGTGCTAGCAACGCTGCAGAGCGTGCTAGCAACGCTGCAGAGCGTGCTAGCAACGCAGCAGAGCGTGCTAGCAACGCAGCTGAGCGTGCTAGCAACGCAGCTGAGCGTGCTAGCAACGCAGCTGAGCGTGCTAGCAACGCAGCTGAGCGTGCTAGCAACGCAGCTGAGCGTGCTAGCAACGCAGCAGAGCGTGCTAGCAACGCAGCAGAGCGTGCTAGCAACGCAGCAGAGCGTGCTAGCAACGCAGCAGAGCGTGCTAGCAACGCAGCAGAGCGTGCTAGCAACGCAGCAGAGCGTGCTAGCAACGCAGCAGAGCGTGCTAGCAACGCAGCAGAGCGTGCTAGCAACGCAGCAGAGCGTGCTAGCAACGCAGCTGAGCGTGCTAGCAACGCAGCTGAGCGTGCTAGCAACGCAGCTGAGCGTGCTAGCAACGCAGCTGGGCGTGCTAGCAACGCAGCAGAGCGTGCTAGCAACGCTGCTGAGCGTGCTAGCAACGCTGCTGAGCGTGCTAGCAACGCAGCAGAGCGTGCTAGCAACGCAGCAGAGCGTGCTAGCAACGCAGCAGAGCGTGCTAGCAACGCAGCAGAGCGTGCTAGCAACGCAGCAGAGCGTGCTAGCAACGCAGCAGAGCGTGCTAGCAACGCAGCAGAGCGTGCTAGCAACGCAGCAGAGCGTGCTAGCAACGCAGCAGAGCGTGCTAGCAACGCAGCTGAGCGTGCTAGCAACGCAGCTGAGCGTGCTAGCAACGCAGCTGAGCGTGCTAGCAACGCAGCTGGGCGTGCTAGCAACGCAGCAGAGGTGCTAGCAACGCAGCAGAGCGTGCTAGCAACGCAGCTGAGCGTGCTAGCAACGCTGCTGAGCGTGCTAGCAACGCAGCAGAGCGTGCTAGCAACGCAGCAGAGCGTGCTAGCAACGCAGCAGAGCGTGCTAGCAACGCAGCAGAGCGTGCTAGCAACGCAGCAGAGCGTGCTAGCAACGCAGCAGAGCGTGCTAGCAACGCAGCAGAGCGTGCTAGCAACGCAGCAGAGCGTGCTAGCAACGCAGCAGAGCGTGCTAGCAACGCAGCTGAGCGTGCTAGCAACGCAGCTGAGCGTGCTAGCAACGCAGCAGAGCGTGCTAGCAACGCAGCAGAGCGTGCTAGCAACGCAGCAGAGCGTGCTAGCAACGCAGCAGAGCGTGCTAGCAACGCAGCAGAGCGTGCTAGCAACGCTGCAGAGCGTGCTAGCAACGCAGCAGAGCGTGCTAGCAACGCAGCAGAGCGTGCTAGCAACGCAGCAGAGCGTGCTAGCAACGCAGCAGAGCGTGCTAGCAACGCAGCAGAGCGTGCTAGCAACGCAGCAGAGCGTGCTAGCAACGCAGCAGAGCGTGCTAGCAACGCAGCAGAGCGTGCTAGCAACGCAGCAGAGCGTGCTAGCAACGCAGCTGAGCGTGCTAGCAACGCAGCTGAGCGTGCTAGCAACGCTGCTGAGCGTGCTAGCAACGCAGCAGAGCGTGCTAGCAACGCAGCAGAGCGTGCTAGCAACGCAGCAGAGCGTGCTAGCAACGCAGCAGAGCGTGCTAGCAACGCAGCTGAGCGTGCTAGCAACGCAGCTGAGCGTGCTAGCAACGCAGCAGAGCGTGCTAGCAACGCAGCAGAGCGTGCTAGCAACGCAGCAGAGCGTGCTAGCAACGCAGCAGAGCGTGCTAGCAACGCAGCAGAGCGTGCTAGCAACGCAGCAGAGCGTGCTAGCAACGCAGCAGAGCGTGCTAGCAACGCAGCAGAGCGTGCTAGCAACGCAGCAGAGCGTGCTAGCAACGCAGCAGAGCGTGCTAGCAACGCAGCAGAGCGTGCTAGCAACGCAGCAGAGCGTGCTAGCAACGCAGCAGAGCGTGCTAGCAACGCAGCAGAGCGTGCTAGCAACGCAGCAGAGCGTGCTAGCAACGCAGCAGAGCGTGCTAGCAACGCAGCTGAGCGTGCTAGCAACGCAGCTGAGCGTGCTAGCAACGCAGCTGAGCGTGCTAGCAACGCAGCAGAGCGTGCTAGCAACGCAGCAGAGCGTGCTAGCAACGCAGCAGAGCGTGCTAGCAACGCAGCTGAGCGTGCTAGCAACGCAGCTGAGCGTGCTAGCAACGCAGCTGAGCGTGCTAGCAACGCAGCAGAGCGTGCTAGCAACGCAGCTGAGCGTGCTAGCAACGCAGCAGAGCGTGCTAGCAACGCAGCAGAGCGTGCTAGCTGTTAGAATCTATCAGCTCTTAGTAACCTGCATAGATGTAACCTGCATAGATGTTATAGGATAGGCTAGAGATAAGCACCCAAACTTAGTTTGGGTGTTCAAGCAGGGGTTACCCAATTTGTAGGTTGGAAACCCAACCTTGGTCCAATTATTGGACCCCAAAGGTTGGGTTGGGTAGAATTATTGGTTCACACCAATAATGTTGGCCCAACCCCAACTTGGCCAACATTATTGGACCCCACCAATAATTCCCCAACCCAACCTCATGGGTGGGGTCCAATAATGGTCACCTAGGCTAGGATCCAACCCATTCCCTATGTAAACCCCCATTCTCCTCAATTCAACAACAACTTCTCTTCCAACTTTTATTCTCACACTAGCAACGCAGCTGAGCGTGCTAGCAACGCAGCTGAGCGTGCTAGCGTGCTAGCAACGCAGCAGAGCGTGCTAGCAACGCAGCAGAGCGTGCTAGCAACGCAGCTGAGCGTGCTAGCAACGCAGCAGAGCGTGCTAGCAACGCAGCAGAGCGTGCTAGCAACGCAGCAGAGCGTGCTAGCAACGCAGCTGAGCGTGCTAGCAACGCAGCTGAGCGTGCTAGCAACGCAGCTGAGCGTGCTAGCAACGCAGCCGAGCGTGCTAGCAACGCAGCTGAGCGTGCTAGCAACGCAGCTGAGCGTGCTAGCAACGCTGCTGAGCGTGCTAGCAACGCAGCAGAGCGTGCTAGCAACGCAGCAGAGCGTGCTAGCAACGCAGCAGAGCGTGCTAGCAACGCAGCAGAGCGTGCTAGCAACGCAGCTGAGCGTGCTAGCAACGCAGCTGAGCGTGCTAGCAACGCAGCAGAGCGTGCTAGCAACGCAGCTGAGCGTGCTAGCAACGCAGCAGAGCGTGCTAGCAACGCAGCAGAGCGTGCTAGCAACGCAGCAGAGCGTGCTAGCAACGCAGCAGAGCGTGCTAGCAACGCAGCAGAGCGTGCCAGCAGAGCGTGCTAGCAACGCCGCTGAGCGTGCTAGCAACGCAGCTGAGCGTGCTAGCAACGCAGCTGAGCGTGCTAGCAACGCTGCTGAGCGTGCTAGCAACGCTGCTGAGCGTGCTAGCAACGCTGCTGAGCGTGCTAGCAACGCAGCAGAGCGTGCTAGCAACGCAGCAGAGCGTGCTAGCAACGCAGCAGAGCGTGCTAGCAACGCAGCAGAGCGTGCTAGCAACGCAGCTGAGCGTGCTAGCAACGCAGCAGAGCGTGCTAGCAACGCAGCAGAGCGTGCTAGCAACGCAGCAGAGCGTGCTAGCAACGCAGCTGAGCGTGCTAGCAACGCAGCAGAGCGTGCTAGCAACGCAGCAGAGCGTGCTAGCAACGCAGCAGAGCGTGCTAGCAACGCAGCAGAGCGTGCTAGCAACGCAGCAGAGCGTGCTAGCAACGCAGCAGAGCGTGCTAGCAACGCAGCAGAGCGTGCTAGCAACGCAGCAGAGCGTGCTAGCAACGCAGCAGAGCGTGCTAGCAACGCTGCAGAGCGTGCTAGCAACGCAGCAGAGCGTGCTAGCAACGCAGCAGAGCGTGCTAGCAACGCAGCAGAGCGTGCTAGCAACGCAGCAGAGCGTGCTAGCAACGCAGCTGAGCGTGCTAGCAACGCTGCTGAGCGTGCTAGCAACGCAGCTGAGCGTGCTAGCAACGCAGCTGAGCGTGCTAGCAACGCTGCTGAGCGTGCTAGCAACGCAGCTGAGCGTGCTAGCAACGCAGCAGAGCGTGCTAGCAACGCAGCAGAGCGTGCTAGCAACGCAGCAGAGCGTGCTAGCAACGCAGCAGAGCGTGCTAGCAACGCTGCAGAGCGTGCTAGCAACGCTGCAGAGCGTGCTAGCAACGCAGCTGAGCGTGCTAGCAACGCAGCTGAGCGTGCTAGCAACGCAGCTGAGCGTGCTAGCAACGCAGCTGAGCGTGCTAGCAACGCAGCTGAGCGTGCTAGCAGCAGAGCGCTAGCAACGCAGCAGAGCGTGCTAGCAACGCAGCAGAGCGTGCTAGCAACGCAGCAGAGCGTGCTAGCAACGCAGCAGAGCGTGCTAGCAACGCAGCAGAGCGTGCTAGCAACGCAGCTGAGCGTGCTAGCAACGCAGCTGAGCGTGCTAGCAACGCAGCTGAGCGTGCTAGCAACGCAGCTGAGCGTGCTAGCAACGCAGCTGAGCGTGCTAGCAACGCAGCTGAGCGTGCTAGCAACGCAGCTGGGCGTGCTAGCAACGCAGCTGGGCGTGCTAGCAACGCAGCTGGGCGTGCGAGCGACGCAGCTGGGCGTGCTCGAATTTCCACACGTAGTGTAGCGCTGCCTGCAATTCTCGATCTCACCCCCATGCCACATCACTCCCTACTGCCTCCATTTAAAGAGCTGGAGCAGGCGGAGGCGCTGTACCACCTGCGCAGCTGGCTGCAGAACCACGTTAACACTTTCTACGCCCACTCCTGCACTCGTATGCTCTTTGCTGTGCCCGTTCCCTCCCCCCCCACCAGAGCTGGAGCAGGCGGAGACGCTGTACCATCTGCGCAGCTGGCTGCAGAACCACGTGAAACCTCTTCGTGCCTGCATCTTCCATTCTCACCCCTCTGCTGCACCACTCCCTACTACCATGCCCCCTCTGTTTTCCAGAGCTGGAGCAGGCAGAGGCGCTGTACCACCTGCGCAGCTGGCTGCAGAACCACGCCAAGTACAAGGCGCTTGTGCCGCCCTCTGGCCCCGCCTCCATGTCTCACTCCGATGTGCGTGCTCTACTCTCTCCTCTCCCAGATCTCGCTCCCCTCTCATCCCTCTCACTCCTCTCACCACTCCAAGTACAAGGCGCTTGTGCCGCCCTCCGGCCCCGCCTCCATGTTGCACTCCGATGTGCGTGCACCCCTCTCACCCCTCCCAGCCTTCTCAACCACCCACCTCTCCACCTCTCGTGCTCGCACCACACTTAAACTTTCTTGCTCCCTCCACCTCTTCTTGTTCCCTTGTGAGCCTAACCTCAATGTACCACATCCCATTCACACTTGTCCAGCTCACACACGAGTCCCCCGCCACCATCGTCAATATAAGCCGACTTTCAAACCACTCAACCTGCATCTCCCTTCCGCATATCTTTCGGCCCTACCCCTTTGTCTGTGTGTGTGTGCGGGCGGGTGGGTGTGAGTGTGAGTGTGCGTGTGTGTGTGTGTGTGTGTGTGTGTGTGTGGTGGAGAAGGGGGGGGGGGTGCGTGTGGGTGGGTCGTCGTGGGTGTGTGTGAACATGCATATCTGTGTGGCAGGTGGTGCAACTGTACACGGAGGCAGCTCGCATGGCTCCAGATGATGCCGACCTGCAGGTCAGGACAACCTTGCCATGCCATGCAATGCCATGCCATGCCATGCCATCCCTGACCTTCTATTGTGATCGTGTCTCCTTGTCATGCCGAGTAATGCCTTTTCTTTCCCCCCCTCATCAACCCTCCTCTTCTAAGCCAGGTGGTGCTGGGAGTGCTGTTCAACCTCTCCCACGAGTACGACCGCGCCAAGGCAGCCTTCCGCAGGGCCCTTGCGCTGCGCCCCTCCGACTACTCGCTCTGGAACAAGCTGGGCGCCACTCAGGCCAACAGTGCGCAGTCCGCTGAAGCGATTGAGGCGTATCAGAAGGTATGCATGCCCGCGGACAGTCTTGTTCGTGCATGCTGATGCACGCATGTTGAGGATTTGTGCAATTGTTTTCCTTGACTTCATTCGTGTTCTTTTTGTTACTGGGTGCTGTCCAGGCTTTGGATCTGAAGCCGAATTATGTTCGTGCATGGACAAACATGGGCATTGGATATGCCAACCAAGGGAAGTACGAGGAGTCGGCTCGCTATTATGTGCGTGCGATTGCGATGAATCCAACGGCAGAGAATGCGTGGCAGTACCTGAGAATCGCGTTAAGCTGCGCTGGAAAGGCGGAGCTACTCCCAGCTTGTGATGCCCATGATGTGGATGCACTTCAGAGGGAGTACCCGTTGTAATTGATTAATGCCACCAGATCGTTAATATCCAGAAGAGTTACGTATGTGTACATGGTTGTTCAGGAAACACTAGCCTTTTTGATAAGTACACGCTGTCTTGGAGCGGATGGGGGCATCCGTGATAGTGACGAATTGAATTCTGACCACAAAATGCACTGGCCAAGGACTGGATGACAAGTCAGAGCTCACCGACATCGGTCAGCTGTTTCAACCAGTCTCCTGCCTACCTTCAGCCACATGAATTCAGTTCGCCTGACACTCACACCAAGGTCCAATCTGTTCAAATTACACGTACGACAAATCGTTGACGACCTCAACGGTGCGCTTTGCTCCAATTCGTGACAGATACTGTATTCGCTTGTCAGGGAAGGCACCTTGGGATTGGAACTGGAAATGACGTTCACTTTTTCCGTCAAGTTGAGGCGGGAGGGTGGACCCGCCACAAAAGTCGGCGTTCCTGGCTGAGGAACTCGACGGATCGTTGATTGGTAGACGCGTAACTGAGCCCCAGGCGTCCAGCCACTCCCTTTCCGCCTTTTAGAATCTGAACAGCTCCAACAGTGCGGGGAGAGACTGAACGTCGATCCCTTTCAAGAACCACCAACCACATTTCATGCGACCATCAAGCCTGAAAATGAGGCACGCGCATCTCGAAGCTGAGCTTGGTGGTTCGTCAAGCTCAGGCTAAAGGCTTGGTAATGGTTGGGTCTGACAAGTTCCAGAAGTGCTCTTCAACAATTTGTCCAATCGGCCTGGCGGACTTATCGACAATGGAGCATGATTGGCTTCTGTAACATGAACCCGAACCAAATTATGCGGCTTGCTGGTTATACAGATAGGCTTGGTTGGAGGCACAAATGATGGGGATTTGGTGCGAGGGGGCCATGGCCCATGATTATCGTGTGTCATGTCTGACATAGGGCCCTGGATGTCCAGGAGAAGGAGCTGCTTGGTTCGGAACCAAACCGGCGAAACACAATCTGGGCCTTATGTGCGTACATTAGCACGACTCCAGCACAGCAGCCAGTCAGATAAAATGGGAAGACACAGGAGTATCTGCTAACATTGAGGGAAGCCAGCGAATTTGTGGAAGGTTTCAGCTGGCGATATTTCACGTGCTTGCTGACTGAAATCCCTGTTCGGAGATTCAGGACCCCATTTCAGAAGAACAAAGTGAGAATCTCTGCCTTTATACCGTAAGGTTAGGCGCCAGAAATCTAGTTTTCTGAGCGGTGTCTTGTTGAGACTAAAGCTGGAGCTCAATGAGTCTACTCGTTCAGCCACCGTCACCTGTAACTGGAATTGGAATGGCGCCTGTTCAACAGATGGACCAGAAGTTTGAGCACCAAGCTGTGAAGATTTCATGTAGTCAATCCTCCCCTCAGTCTCAAACTTTGCCTGTGTTAGTCTCCAGTGACGTCCCTGCAGTTTCTGGAGAGACCATCCACAGCTCTGCGCTTGTCTGCAACGCTGAAAGCAATCCGAGGGAGCTGAAGCCCATTATTGATGGCAAAATGCAAAACTCCCCGCAACTGATCGCATGCCAGCCGCAATTTGCTCTAACCTCTGACCATCACCAGTCGCTGGCAACCCCGAAGCTCGACGATTCTCCACTGTCTGCAGACTACTCTCCTTCTTCAACACCCAGGACGCCAGGCTCCTCCAGCTCGTTTCGGTGCTCGCCTGTACGGAAGCTTCCCGCTCTCTCACCTATCGCCGAAGTCCGCTCTCCACACATATTGGGAGCTCCAGTGTCTCCTCCACCTCTCACAACCCCTGTCTTCTCATCAATCCCGCCGCTGACAAACATTAGCCCTGATGGTCAAGCTGGCTCGCCAGACTCAGCCGTGTCTGCAGGTAGATTTCTCATCATCTTCTTTTTAAGGTTGTAAGCTAAAGGCTCGGCCATGGCTAGGTGCTCTTTTCGTCTTCCAAGGTCTGACCTTCTGTTGTCTGATGAATCATGCAGATCCTAACGCAGGCCCTTTCACAATAAGCCAGTGGCAACAACTGGAGAAACAAGCTTTGATCTTTAAATATATCGTATCTGGTGTTTCTCCTCCACAAGATCTTGTTGCATCACTATACGCATCCCCTGATACCTCCAAAAGACCTCGGGAAAGCGAGCGAGGTAATAACTAAATCTCAGTAAACTTGACTTCAGAATTACGCTGTCTTCTACAGAAATCTCATGCGCATGACGTGTCTTTTTAACAGGCGAGTGGATGCACCCGATGAGGCTTGACTTGGAGCCTGACAGGTGTCGTCGTACTGATGGGAAGAAGTGGCGGTGTTCTCGAGAGGTACGTAATGAACTCCTTACTTCACCTCCATAAACGCGCCGTCAGTATTCACGTGCATGCCTGATTTAGCTAATCTGCTTGATTATGTCTGCAGGCCGTCAAAGATCAGAAGTATTGTGACCGTCACATGCATAGAGGGAGAAACAGGTCGCGGAAGACAAATGAAAACTGCACTGCAGGCTCTAATGCATCCATTGCTGCTGCGTCGTCCGATGGTCCTGCGTCAGAAGTAGCAGGCGGAATCAACGCTGCGACAAGCAGCATCGTTGAGAGTGCTATCACGCAGACAAGGCATATCGATGAGCATGCAGTCGTTTCTGCCTCGGAGGGCAAGAATGACTCAAGATGCGAATCAAGTGCTCAAATGGGAGAACGATCAGCTCTACCACCTCTCACGTTACCTCCCCCAGTTCATCCAATGGGCGCAGCACAAGTGGAACCATCTTCGGGACTCAACTCGTAAGACATTTACTTACCGTTCATAAGCTTAATGATGACCTCCTCGTCCAGTGTCTTACATATTCATCGCTCCGTTTTGCGCAGGCGAGCCTCTGCAGCATCAACATGGCAGACGAATCCAACCACTTTCCAGTCGCAAGCGCAGCAAGAGCAGCACATGATGCAACATCCACCTCAAGACCAGCAGGCTGTGCCTCATTCTGGAGGCATGAATCAAAGCATTAACTGCAGCACTTCCAGTCGCGTTCAGCAATATCAGCTGAGTGGCAACCTTGGTCCTCGGTTCACCTCCTCCTTCCAGCCTGGGCAGTCGCTGCAAGTTGAGAATACCACGTCTGGAACCCCTTCAACAACCAAATCCCTTGGTGTCAGCTCGAGCATCGTGGGTTTGAACAGCGGTCCTACGCAGTCTGGCAACCATGGGACAGCAGGCGGACAACTCCAGCCTGGACACTACCAGATTCAGCATACCCCAAGAGCTGCTATATGGGAGAGGGATGGAGATGATGATACCCCTGGAAGCAGTTCAAGAGTCCCACTTCTTCGTCTGCCAAACTTGTTGCAGGTAAATTGCAATCCAAACTCAGACTCCCAACAAATTCATGGCACATATTGCAGGACCTCAGCTAATGCTATTCGTGAGTTTCGTTTTATGTGTATCATCCCATCAGAGGTCGGCGTCATTACAGATTGCTTCATCTTATTCTGACAAGTCACACGCGGGCCATCACCTGAGCTACGCTCCAGCTCCTGTGGTTACGAACTCTTCGAGTCATCCTGCTTCAACTCCTGTGCCGGGTATCTCTACCAGTCGTCCTGCCTTCCTCACGAGATGCAGCTCTGTCCCTGAGCCTCGATATTCCCGTGCTGGAGGGATGATGCGAAGCCATTCAATATCTGAGGCTCCTGGTAAGGTGGCCCATGCCATCAGCTCTTCATACCAGAGCCCTGTCGACCATTCGCGACAGGTTCATGAAGCTTACCAGCAGCAGCCACAGGTTCACGCTGCTGATGCACGCCAGTTTCAGCCACATCAGCCACAGCAGCAGCAGCAGCAGCAGCAGTTCCAGCAGCATCAAGGACAGCTGCATCAACATCAACAGCAACGGCAGCAACAGTCACAACAACAACCCCAGCAGCAGAACCAGCTGCAACAGCAGCAGCATCAGAATCAGTATCAGCAGGAGTTTCAACAGAGTCAGTACCAACAGCAAGGTCAATACAACCAATACCAACAACAGCCTCAATCGCTTCAACACAAAGCTCAGCAGCAGCAGCAAACCTCTAACCAACACTATCAGCAATACCAGCAAAGCCCACAACAGCAGCAACAGTCATCACAGCCACCGCTACTTCAGCAAACACTGCAGCCCCAGCAGCCAATGCCACCACAGCATCAACAGCAGCAGAATACTCAACCTCAAGTGCAGCAGCAGTACCAGCAGCAGCATCCAAATCAACTGCAAGAGATGCCAGAGTATCAGCTTTCCCAGCAAGACAACATTTTCCAGGACCAACAACAGGGCCATTTGCAGATGGAGTCGGTTGACATCTTCTTGAATGTTGACAGGTGACCGATATGCTGTATGTTGCACATTTGATGAGGGTCGCATTTTGCTAGCAGATGGATGTAGTGACTTTCACGCTTGTTTGTTTGTTGAAGAAAGTTAGAGTGTGCGTGAGGCTTAGTCACCATTCATAAACGTCAACTCCGTATATTAGATGCCGTCAGACATGGTTTTTAACAGTAGTTGGATAAGTTTTGCTACTAATGAGGAGCTATATTAAGAGGTGTTATGCTTGTATATCACCTGTTATTAGTTGTTCACTTGTATATCACGTGTATTTGTACGCGCACTCACACTAATGGATCGAAACGAATGCGTCTGGGGGTTTCTGCTTTCCCGAAACATTGAGCTTGGCCACGTCAGCGTCACCGCTCATCTGGGCCACACCTGCTCGTCACCTTGAACTCGTTCTCGTTCACCCTTACCTGCTGGTCCCTCCTCCCCAGAAAATATATGTTCGTCGCTTCTCCATAATCCCTAATTGGGAGCTCCGCAACTATTTGTTTTCTGTCAGTCTGTCGAGCCGCTGCTAAAACGCCATCTATATTATTCAGAATGGCGTGCATTCAGGCTGTCGCGTCTCTGCCATCAAGAGTCTCATTGACTCTTCCCGCTGCTCCCAGTGGCCAGCGTAGCGTCGTCGTCCGGCCAATCAGGAGCCAACGCCTGGTTGCTGTCTGCGCGGTAGGTCCTTATTCGCCGAGTTGGTCGCGTGATTAGAACGCAAAGTGACCCAGGATTCGTGATTGTACGTTCTTTATATGTAAGAGATCAATGCGGAGCTAATGTGACCTCCGTCACTGTCTAGTCGTCACGGAGCGTTGTTGCTAACCTCCATTGTCGCATGCCGCTTGTTGAGCTCATCTCAGGCTTCGCTAGATCGGCATTCCAGCCTTGTAGGCAAGAGTAGTAGTTGGTGCAGTTAGGCTGAGCCGCAATGCACACTTGCTGCCAGTTCGCCCTCCCTTGCGGCTGTCTTATCCATTACTACCATTGTCTTCCCCTTTGCTGCAGCGGTTTTATCTATAATGCTACTGTTTCATCCTCCGCGGCGACCGTCTTGTCGTCCACCTTTTACCCTATATTTAATCGTAGTTCCGTGGTGCTTCTTCTTATGAAGGCTGACCTCCAGCCCAACACTCCTTGTTCCTGACGACATTGTCACCAATCGGGCCAATGCCATTTTGTCTGGGTCCGAGAAAGCAGGCCACACTACCCTAGCGTCAGATCTGGCGACCACCCTTGCGACCATGCACTGGGTGCGTTCTTCCTTTTCCTCCTGCGTGTCCGCCTTCCCCCACCGCTCTGGCTCGCCTCTCTCTCCCCCTTTCCGCTCTCCGTCGTCCCCCGCAGGCTTGTTCCCCCAAGTCCACCAATGCCGCTCCCTCGCGTCGCCCCGCGTCCGCGCCGTTGCGCCTGCTCTCCGCGCCCGTGGCGGCGCTCCCCCTGGTGCTGGCGTTCGTGGAGGCGGAGCTGCCCAACGCCATCGACACATTCACCGCGCTCTCCGACTTTCACATCACCGAGCCCGCCTTCAAAGCTTTCTGTAAGCCGTCTTCGTGAAGCCGTGAAGGCCTTCTGTACGCTTTTGCACCCGCATGTTTTTTCTTTCCGTAAGCAAGTCGAAATTTTTACACTCCCCGTAGGACCATCCAAACCGTTGGTATGCCCGGACCCGTAGATGTGTCCAACCGAATAAGTATGACTAACCCCTCGACGAGAACCAGTCAAGCGTGCTCACTCGACTCGACTCGACTCGACTCGGCGTCCAACCGCTTACACCTACACGCCTGTTCCCATCCAAACAAACCGGAAAACGTTCGTATTCGGCTGGGATTTCCTGCTCTATTCTCTCCTGCTTTTAACTTCCAATCTCCATGTCTCCCCCCCTCCCCTTCCCCCCTCTCTTGTGCCTCCCCATCCCCTCCCCCCTGTGCTGTTTCCCCCCACCGTGCCATACCTCTCTGCGTGCAGACATGATCTTCACATGCGTCTTCTGCTGGGGTGCGCTCGTCTTCGGCTCCATGAACGTACGTGCGCGCTCCCCCATCTTGCGCCCCCTCAATATCTGCGCCTCCCCCGTTTTGCGCCACGTCCCTCCCTCTCTTTCCCATCCCCTCCGCGTTTCCATCCCGCCCTCCCATTGCCCCTATGCAATTCCCCCATCCCCTCCATCCCTTTCCCCAGCCCCATCTTCTCCCATTCCTTCGTCCTGCATTTCTACTTTCTGTTCTAGTCCCTGCACCCTCTCACCTCCCCTTTCCTCTCACCGCATGGTACCACGTTACGTCCCCGTCCTTTCAATCCTCCCTTTCCCGCGCGGCACATCTCCTGCCCCCCACGAACGCACAGCAGGGCGAGAGATACAGCAATGCTAATGGCAGCAGCAGCAGTAGCACCAGCAGCAGAGTAGCCGCAGCAGAATCAACATTAGCAGGAGCAGCGTATTTCACTGGCGTTTTTCTCATGTCAACTGTCTCTCATCCCTTCTGACGGTGCGCACGCGTGCCCCCTTCCCCTCTGCCACGCTTGCACCCACCCCCCCTCCGCGTGCCCCCACCATCCCCCTGTGCATGCCCCTACCCCAACCCCCCCTCCGTGTGCCCCTCAGGACGAGTACTACGAGAGCGACGAGTACCGCAAGGCGGGTGGCAACGGCACCCAGTTCTGGATCTACCAACGGGTCAGTCGCGCGCCCATGCCCCAGCTGCTCGCACACGGGGGGTGTTGGCACAGTGGGGGGGGGGGGGGGAGTTGGCCGGGGATATTGGGGGGGGATGTTGGCCGGGGATGTTACCAGGAATACAGGGATGCAGGTGCACCTGGCATGTAGGCACACAGTGGGGAATGTGCGTCTTTAATTCTTGCCATGCGGCAGTGGCATAATTGTTTCTGTGCCTTGGTGATTTCCACATGGTGTTCTCCCTCCTCCGCACACCCTTATTCACAACCCCGGCCCCTTCCCCCCTCTGCCCCGGCCCTGTCCCCCAACCCTTCTTGATACGAGACCATGCCATCAAACCCCCCTTCCCTCTCTGCTGCCCTTTCCTCCTCTGCTGCCCTTTCCCCGCCTGCCCTTCCCCGCTGCCCTCCCGTTCCCCGTTGCCCTCCCTCCCCCGCTGTCCTCCCCTCCCCCGCTGTCCTCCCCTCCAATGCTCCCTGCTCTTTGCAGGCGGAGGAGGAGGAGGAGGGGGGAAGGGAGGAGCTGTGGAGGGATGAGTTGAGGAGGGAGATAGAGGAGAAGGTGACGGGGGTGAAGGGGCTCAAGGGGGCCGTGAGGGAGGAGGAGCTTGTTTGACCTCAGCACCCTTGCTGCACGGGCACTGTGTGCTCCAGGGCTGTAGCAGTGGCCTGCCTGATGCAGTGCTGTGTCTCTGTTGTGGGCACTCACTTCCTCTGTCATTTACGGTTAGTGGGAGATAGAGGAGGAGGTGACGGAAGTGAAGGGGCTCAAGGGGGCCGTGAGGGAGGAGGAGCTCGTCTGACCGCGCCCGTCTCAACGCCATTGTGTGGGCTAGATGTGGCCTTATGCACTGCTGTGTCTTGCTCGCGTGCGACGGTATTCTCCATGTCATTTGCAATTAAAATGGGAGGCAAATTTAATGACCGGCGGCAGCACGGCTCTCTGTTTTCAAGCAGAGGTTGCAAGGGTTGCGGTAAGGCCGGATTCCATTTAGTGGTGCAGGGAAAGCAAGAGAAAAAACAAGAGAAACTAAAGGCCTATGAGTACATACGGTACAATTTATTAAGAATCTACCCAACCACGAACCAGACACACCTCCTGCAAAACGATTAATCAAAGTCATCTACACTGCAATAGGCTCCTGCACTCCACCCATGGCAGCATCTGCTTGCACAGCCCCCACCCCATCCTTCTCCCCACCTCCACCTCCTCCCGCACTGCCAGCAGCACCACCACCCGCAGCAGCAGTGGCAATGACATCAGCAGCTGCAGCCTCGGCAGCAGCTATGGTCCCACCCACTGCAGCCCCCAGCTTGTGCACTGTGGCTGGCGCTGCTGAACTAGCAGCAGCACCGGCAGCAGCTTGGTCAGCAGCAACGGTACCATTAGCAGGAGGGGTGGTTGCAGGCGGTGCAGAGGGGGCGGGCGCAGCAGGGGGTGGAGCAGGTGGAGCGGAGAGTTTGGTGATGAGAGCGATGATGAGTTGGTCCCTGCGCGCTGCTCTCTCGTCCTCCCTCGCTGCCCTCTCCGCCTCCATCTGCAGTACAGACACACATGCGTGCACACACACGAGAGTTTGGTGATGAGAGCGATGATGAGCTGATCCCTGCGCGCTGCTCTCTCGTCCTCCCTTGCTGCCCTCTCCGCCTCCATCTGTAGCAACCATGCGCGCACACGCACCGTCACGCAAGTACACACGGATACATGGGCGGAAGGAAGGGATGGAAGGGCTTTGCTCGGGAAAAGGGCAACAGAAGCGAGGGAGGCCGTTAGGGACGATCGAAAGCGATTGGTGACCCACCTGCCCCCACCCACACTCAACTCCTCCCCCCCACCACCCACCTGCCCTTTCCGCCACCCACTTGGTCCCCCCCAACCATCTTCCCCCCCCCACACGCACCTGACGCCACATGGACTCTCTCTGAGCCCTGTCCCTCTCCAAGGCCTCCAAGCGGCTCCGCCACTCGCCCTCCCGCACCCTCCGCTCCGCCTCACGGCGCTCTATGGCTTCGCGCCACTCCTGCTCAAGCCGCAGCTGCTGCACAAAAAACTGCTCCAGCACCTCCTGCATGCTCCCCGCGCGCTGCCTCTCCAGCGCCACGCGCCTGTCCCCCCCCCCGCTGCCATCAAACGCGTCTCCGCCTGCGCTGCCCCCTGCGCCAGCGGACGCGCCCTTGCCCATGGCGGGGGAGCCCGCGCCGTAGGCCCCCGTGGCGGCCTTGCGCGCGCCAGCGTTGAAGTCGCGCTTGCGCCTCTTGTTGCGCAGCACGTTCAACTCGCCCTCTAGTTCGTCCTCCCCCTCCTCCTCCTCTTCCTCCTCCTCCTCTTCCTCGTCTCGCGCCCGCCGGGTGAGCAAGCTCCCTCCCACGCCCCCCGCGCCCCCTCGCGCGCCCAACCCGCCGCCGAAGCTTCCGCGCATGCCCAGGATTCCTCCGACTGCTCCGGCCCGGCTCTCTCCTGCGGAGAATCCGCTGCCGATTCCGCCGCCCTCCGCCTGCACGAGCAGGCGGTCCATGTTGCGCGCGCGCTGCTGGAAAATCGCGTCCACCTCCTCGAAAAATGGCAACGGGCGCGACCCGTCCGCCGAGAGCTCCTTGTTCTGGCGGGGGGTGCGGGGGGTGCGGGGGGTGCGGGGGGTGCGGGGGGAACGGGCGGAACGAGGAGAGGGTCGCGGGGGTGAAATCACGAGGATAGAAAGTCCAAAACGGAAGAAGAAAAAAGAAAAAGAAAAATTCAGAAAAGAACTAACTCCGAAATGCGACAGGATTGCGTGGCGGGCGTTGCGAGTGGGTACCTTGTAGCGATTAACGAGCACTTTCCACTTGCACTTGCACTGGTTGGGCGAGCGGCGGTACCCCTTCTCCTTCATGCGCGCCGATATCGTCTCCCACACGTGGTTGCTCGTGCGCCCGGGGACGAAGTCGCGCTCCATCTCGGCGCGCAGCGCGATCAGCTCCTTGGTCTCGTTGAAGCCCCAGTGCGACTGGCGGTCCGCCGCCGACGCCATCAGCGCGTCGTCGTACGCGCCCGCCACGCCCAGCGGCCCGTCTTCCGATATTCCCGGGAGCATCGGCAGATGATGCGACATGCGCGAACTAGAAATGGAGCACGGGACTAAGCAGTAAGAAATTAAGGCGGATAAACTATGCGAGGCGTGGAGAGGTGGCAGTTCTTCGAAACGCGTGAGCGGGATGGAGAAGCACGGTCGTGCAGTTTAGGGAACACGAACAACGAATCGCGGTAATACTCTTGCTGTCGGAAATTCAAACAAAGCGATTTTCAAATTGGCGCCTTCCAGGAGGTGTCGGGGATGTTGCTTGGGTGCGAAATTGAGAACGGTGTTTCTTGGGAAGAGTGGAGGAGGTAATTACACGAGGGCCATGGAGCTAGGGTCAGAGGTAGGGCGGAAACAGGGAGGGAGTGATGGCAGGGTGGTGTTTGAAGCGAGGGTTTGGCAATTTGAACAGCTGAGTGTGAACGGGGGTCAGTTGCGCCAGGGGCGCATGCGCGGGTGGGGGAAAACCGCAGTTCAGCCCAGGGGACGGGGTGAGGGGGGAAAGTGGTTTGTGTTTGCGCGAGAATGAGCTGCGTTGGCGCTAATTTGAATGAGGGTTTGGGGCAGGGTAGAGAATGGGGACTGGATGGCAGTTTCGAGCTTGTAACGAGAAGTCTGAACGCTGGAGGCAGTGGTCTGCGAACCATTTGGGTAGTTGTGCAGATGCCTCAGCTGGTTTGGAATGCGGTTGGTGCGTTTTCTGGCTGGATACATGGCATTCTGATTCGGTACTTCGTGGTATCTCTCTTGGTGGGTGGGAGAAGATGTGAGTTCTCCAATTGGACCAAATCGGCGTCGTTTGCGCCACGGAACTGGTGGGCGACTGAACTGTACTACTGTGCGACCGGCGCATGACCAATCGCGTGATGTGTTACAAGGCAAACTGAGCATGCTCATAGTCGTCTGCTCTCAAAGCATTTTCGCACTCGCAATCGCAGACAGTTTCGGCGCTGACATGCTCAACTGCTTCGATATTACCTGATACACGGTACTTTGCGGCGCAGTGGACGGTGGACCCCGCTCCGCGCAGCAAATTGCGCTTCGCCCCACGCGCCATTCGGGGTGATGCTTTGCGGCGCTGTGCACTCCGCTCCGCGCTGCACAGTGCGCTTCGTCCCGCGCGCCTTTTTCCGCCTGTAAAAGCCGTGCCAGCCAAACCAGCTTGCAATATTCCGCATGTATGTCGACGGAATGGAAGCATACATTCTGGCATGATGCTTCATTCCGATTGGTCCAATCAGCTCGCGAAGGATGTTATCTATGTTGCGAAACAGTGAAACAAGCAAAACCGAGTTTCGTGAAGTTCGCCGAACACCAAACCCCTAGGTCCGTCATCTCGGCTCAGCATCAACCCATCCCATCCTGAAACCCTAGCTCCCACTCCACACACCCCCCAGATCCAAATTTCACTTACACCTCCTCTGCTTCAGCCGCTCCCTCCCCCATTTTTCACTAATTTCCAAGGTCCACCGCGAATCTCTACCACCCAAGCAGCCGTTTGTTTACCGCCAACTCCAACGCGGCTCGAAACTGTGTACATTCCGTGTGGAAATTGTTCATCGCTTTGCTTCGCGGCTCGAAACCGTGTCGAAGTTGCTCATTGCGTGCTCTCAATCCGTGGTTAGCTACGGACGTATAGACAAATAGGTCATTCTCTCTCCTTGGGGAGAGCTTCAGTCCGTTCAAGCTGCAACGTGGACGGGCATCGGGCTTCGTGCTGGGCCTCGATTTCGCCATCAAGCTCTTCACCATCCCGCAGTCGACCTTCGCAGCTAAGTGCTCCTTTCACTGCTGTCGAAGTTCGTCTCATATTTCCAGCTTTTTGTTCGTGCTGTCAATTTGTTTTCCAGCCAAAGCGCCGCCTGTGGAACTCCCTGTCTCCTACTCTAGGTCTGGGTTAGCCTCTTTAGGTCGGTCTAGCGTCAGCGTCGCTAAGTCAAGCTGCGTCGGTCTGTCAGAGCTTTGCAGTGCGGTTGCTTTGGCTGGAAAACATTCCCCATTTTCCCACACACGACTTCACCGCTTTTGTCAACTTTATGGCATCCCACTGTCACTTGAAACTTACATTTTTTTGTTCTAATGCGTTCAGGTGTTCCTTCAATTATCTGGGAGCAGCAAAGGCATTCAAGGATGGAAGATCAAGAGGAGCATCACTACAAGGTAGCGCTCCTCAAGCCAAGACTTTAAGGCAACATCGAAGCCAAGATTTGAATCAACGTTCAAGACATGCAACTCCACTTGCAGATAAGTGCCGCTTCCCTCCTTGCTCCTCTCAAACTCAATTTTCGCTCATCATGGTCGTGACGTTTGTTTCATGCTTGAGCGGCGCTTATCACAACTGCTGCACGTTCCATTCCCCCTGGTATTATTTTTTTTAAGGTAACCCTTTTCTGGTGAGACCCTAGGTTCTTCTCTTCTGGTATTTCTGGTACTTGGCTCTTGTGGTATGTTGTGATAAGCGCTCTTGCTGTGTGTCTCAAATTCATTCATGGCAATTATCATGCACATTCATTCTTGCCTCTCTTGTTGGACCTTCCAGTGCTGCTTGTACTTACTACCCCCCCTTCTCCCTCTTTTGACTGGCAGATGTCTTCCGCCAATTCCTTCAACCGCGTTAAAGCAGCAAGGTGCTCAACAGTCAACATTCAAGTCGTGGAGTCAAATTTGCACAACGTCAACAGTTCAAGAAAAAGTTAAGTACCACGCGCCCTTGTCTTCTCTTTCATTGTTTCCTGCTGGTCATGTTTCTGCTCTTTCAGCCATCATTACATTCTCGCCTTCCATTGCGTAATATGTTTGCTTGAGCGCTTAACACTACCACCACTTGAGCCTTCCCTGGTATTTTTTTTAAGGTACTCTTTTCTGGTGAGTCCATCAGGTCCCTTAAGGTTTTTTTCTGGTATATGGCTCTTGTGGCTCTGGTGTGAGCACCCTTGCATCCATGCTACTGCATCCTCCACCCATGAAGTCCTTGGTCCTCTATGGAGCTCCTAGTTCCACTGTTTTTAACATTTTCTTCCCAAACATTTCCTTTTATTGGCAGGTTATCTTCTCAACGCTGCTCGGTCAACCGAGAGAACCTACCTGACTGCTTTGAAGAAAATGCTTACCACCAAGTCCTTACAAAGTTCTTAAGCCTTCAGATCCAAGGTAAAGCTCTCAACTTTTAGTGGTCAAGTGTTCAACTTTGGACTTTGACTGACAACTCCTTGTTTTCTTTCCACAGGCACCTCACAATTCAAGCTCTTCAACAGCCGCTTCTTTGTCATGACACTCAACAATCAAGCGTCAACTTCCAAGAACCCCAAGGTAACGCTCTTGGCTTCTTAAATTGTTTATTGTTCTTTGTTTTGTTAAAACCTTGACTGGCGTTTCCTTGTTTACTTCTGCAGGTACCTCACCGCCCTTCAACAACCGTCTCCCTCTCAAGATGTCCAACATATAGACATCCCAATACCCAAGGCCCCCAAGGTAAAACTCTCTACTTTCAGTGGTTAAGTGTTGTTCAACTCTTAACTTTCACTGACAATTCTTTGTTTTCTTTCCACAGGCACCTCACAAATCAAGCTCTTCAACAGCCACTTCCCTGTCAAGACACTTAACAATCAAGCATTCCAACATTCAAGGCCCCCAAGGTAACGCTCTTGGCTTTTTAGTTTGTTTATTGTTGTTTTTTTTACCTTGACTGACGTTTCCTTGTTTACTTCTGCAGGTAATTCACCACTTGAGCCCTTCAACAACCATCTCCTTCTCAAGATGTTCGACGTATAAACATCCCAACACCCAAGGCTCCCAAGGTAAAGCTCTTGATTTGTCTTGTCCGTTTTTCTGTTTCAACCTTTACTGACTCTCCTTGGTTTTTTTTGGCAGGTGCCTCACCACACAAGCCGTTTCAACAGCCTCTTGCCTTTCAAGACCTTTAACAATTGGTATCACATCCTAAGATCCAAACCCCCAAGGTAATGTTCTTGACTTCTTAAATCGTTTTTCGTTTTAACCTTGACTAACGTCTCCTTGTTTCCTTTCACAGTTACGTCATCAATCAAGCCCTTCAACGGCCACTCATCCCTCAAGATCTTCAACAAGTCAAGACTTTTCAACATTTAAGGTCACCAAGGTACTGTTTTCATCCTTCAGATTTTTATTCTCTTCCGCACCCAGACTGACGTTTGGTTTTTTCACCCTGCAGGTATTTCAGCATTGGAGGTTTTCGACCAACAGTTTTCATTCAAGTCTCTCACCATCCTCATAACGAAGGTACACATGTTAACTTTCAGCTTTTTCTTACTACTTATACCCAGGTTCTGACCTTTCTTCTTGTCTCCTGCAGGTGCCCCAGGAAGGGTTGGCATGGCAAGTGGCATTGAAGGCACCAAGGCATGGCTGAGAGCACTCTTGTGGTTGGCTAATCTCGAATCCGGGCCATACCAATGGTTCTGTCTTGTAGCAGAGCTGACTGCAGCAGCTCTGTTACTTGACAGAACCGGCGTACATGGGCTCCCGCAAGTCTTGATAATAGCAATCCTGAGGGTGGGCCAGTCCTCCCTGTGGTGGAGGAGGATGGTTTAAACCTCAACATCCAGTCCTCCCTGTGGTGGGGGAGGATGGCTTAATGCCTATTGCCTGCAGACAGTCCTCCCTGGGGTGGGGGAGGATGGCTCAATTCCTTCTGCAGTCAGCCCCTCCCAAGGCATGTGACAATCAAACATTTACCAGGTGAGCAGTTCTGCTTTCTCTGCTTCTATTTCTTCTTTGGCCAGAGGATTAACATTCTTGTTTGCACTCTGCAGGTTACTTTGGTGCATCAACATTGTATCTTCAACAGCATGAGACAGCTAATCATTTACCAGGTGAGCAATTCTGCTTTTTCTGCTTTCATTCCTCCTTCTGCCAGAGGACTAACATTCTTGTTTGCACTCTGCAGGTTACTTTGGCCATCAACATTGTATCTTCAACAGCATCCACTTGTTACCAACTCCTCTTGTTAGCAAGAGCTGCTAGGATTCCATGGAACGTAGTACCTTGTACAAAGTTAATGTGTTGTACTGCTATCTAGCTATAATGGAACTTAAGTTGCTGTTGATGTTGAGAGCTAAGTTCAGGTGACATTGCCTTTTCAGTGTTGGTAAAAGAGATGATGAAATAGGTACTTGCCACAGCATTGGCCTGCTTGGACGATGGCTTCTGTATCTAACGAAATGCATGTAACCCATGCTCATTCTCTTGTTCTGTCCCTGCTCCAGAGTTTCGCCATGATTCGTTACGAGGTTCGCCAGGAATCACCAACCCACCAACCTCTCCTTTCACGGACACTGAAGTATCACACAGCAGCTCACGGCACAGCAACAGCAACTCGTCTAGTATTCAGACATCACGATCAACAGTCCGCTCATTCACGATTCACCATTACGGGTCATCGTGGTACGGCATTTACTCAAGCCGAGCAGTGACGAGGATATCGCGTTTCTGGCGTCGCTTGATTTCGACCAGACCTCCGGTATCTTACGTTTGGCCGAATTTTCGAAATTGGACTGTCATTTGATAGTCGCCATGATTTCACTATGTCGGTACAGAATCTAATTCTCGCGTTTCCGTGCGCTGTACGACGCTCACAACTAGGACCAGCCGGGTCGTTCTCGCTGTAAGCCCTCGATTTCTCGTAACAGCTCTGGTGATTGCCCGCCATGCTGCAGGATGGAGGCGCTTAGTGCATCGCACAAAGTATCGCACAGGGCGTCGCGTAGAGCGTCGCACGCAGCATCTCACAGAGCCCGGCACAGAGCATTGCGTAGATAGCTAGCTCGTCACGGCACGCGTTGGAAGTTCTCACCACCACCCTGCGACATTCCGCGCCGGGCATCGTGACCATCGCAGAACAGCAGGTCGCACAGCAGCTCGTCGCACAGCAGCACGTCGCACAGGAGCTCGTCGCACAGCAGCACGTCCCACAGGAGCTCGTCGCACAGCAGCATGGGGAGCAAAAGTCACAACTTGCCGAGTCTAACACCCAGGTACGACACCTGAATGCTCCTTGCGTCTGCGTCGTAATCCCGCGCCGCCCAGATTGCCCCCGCACATGCCGCCCAGCTTGCCGCCACACATGCCGCCCAGCTTGCCCCCGCACATGCCGCGAGTGAGTCCAACGCACTCACCACTCCATCTCGTCGCGTCGCATGCAGATCGCATGCGGCGGCTGATGTGGAGGAAGGCGCGCAACAGGCGGATCTCCGCTCCCCGCTCCTCTCCGTCGGCGGAAGCGCGGGCCCGAAGGAGCGCCACCACCACCACAGCGGCAGCATAGGCGGCGGCGCGGGCCCTTCCCCCGGCGGCGGCGGAAGCTCCGCGTCGGAGGGGAAGCTCGCGAGCTTCTTCCGCGCGGACTCCGCGTCTGAGCGCAAGCGCGACGACAACTGGGCGGTGGGCGCGGGCGGGGGCGGGCGGCGGTCGCGGCGGTTCCAGGTGGCGGGGAGTGCGCTGGTGTCGGGCATGTGCTACTGCGCGTCGTCGTGCTCCATGATCCTGCTCAATAAAGTCGTGCTGTCTGGTTACCACTGGGACGCGCAGATTTCGCTCATGCTCTACCAGGCACGCCCCCCACCCCCTTCCCTCCCCCCTCTTTCCCTCCCTCCCTCCCTCCCTCCCTCCCTCCCTCCCTCCCTCCCTCCCTCCCTCCCTCCCTCCCTCCCTCCCTCCCTCCCTCCTCCCCTCCCTCTTTACCTCCTCCCGTTGCCCCCTCCCTTGCCGCTCTTCGTCCTTCCTTTCCTCCTTTCTGCCTGTCTTCCAGTCTTCCATTGCCGTACTTGTCGGTCCTTCCATCCCTCCCACCCTTACCTCTTCCTACCTCATCTCCCCTCCCCCCTCCGACAAGACGCTTCCATCCTCACGCCCTTACCGCCCAGCACCCTGCATCATGCTGCCTTCCACTATCTTACCTCCCCCCCCCCCCGCCCCTTTTTCGTTCTCTCCCTCTACTGCCCCACCGCCCTCCCTGCCTTTCGCTCTCCCTGCCTTCCGCCCCTATGCCTCCTCACTCACCTCCCTCCCTGCGCACACAAACCACAATCCCACAATCGTATGCTGGGTGCACAGAACCTGGTGAGTGTGACGGTGGTGCTCGTGCTCGTGTACATGGGCGTGATCGCCACGGAGCCCCTCACGCTGCGACTCATGACCGTGTGGTTACCAGTCAACCTCATCTTCGTTGGCATGCTCGTCACCTCCTTCTTCAGGTGCCCTCCCTGTTCTGTTAGGTGCTCTACCTGTTCCTTCACGTGCCGCTCAGTTCAGTTTACTGACTGCTCAGCTTCATATCCTCTCATTTGCTCGACTGCAACGCTTCTTTTCACCCTCACCACTCATCCGCATCAACCATCCTTAACCCTTCCCCCTCCCTTCCCCACTCCCGGCCCGTCCCCCTCCTCCCCGGTCCCATTCCCTCCTCCCTCCCTCCCCCCCCAGTCTGCAGTACATGCAGGTGGCCATGGTGACAATACTCAAGAACGTGACCAACCTCATAACAGCGGTGGGCGAGACGAGATGTACCTCTTCCCTTTCCCCCCCCCTGCCGCCACACACCCCCCCAGCCTCCAATACATGCAGGTGGCGATGGTGACAATTCTCAAGAACGTGACCAACCTCATAACAGCGGTGGGCGAGATGTACCTCTTCCCTTTCCCCCCCCCCTGCCGCCACACACCCCCCCAGCCTCCAATACATGCAGGTGGCGATGGTGACAATTCTCAAGAACGTGACCAACCTGATAACAGCGGTGGGCGAGATGTACCTCTTTCGCAAGCGCCACTCCTCCAAAGTCTGGGGCTCGCTCTTCCTCATGGTCAGCACTCTCGTTCTTCCACCATTTCCACTGCATGCCTCTCTTTTTCGTGGGCCCTTATTGCATTCATGCCATGCCGTGCCGCTGCCATCACCCTTAACTAGTAGCCACACTCTCCATATCCATATGCCCTCGCATGCCGCATCCTCACCATGCCGTGCCACACGGCTCCACCCTCTCACACACCCCCCCTCATCCTCACCCTGCGTCCTCTCTCACCGTCATGCCTCACCATCTCGTTGCTCCATGCCTAATCCCCATCCCTCTGCTTCCCATGCTCCTCGTGTCGTGCTCGCCATCTCCCCTGTGTGCCTCTCTGCTCCCCATGTCCCCGGTCTCACATGCCATGGCATGGCATGGCACCCTGTGCTCGCTCCCCATGTCCCTGTGAGTGGCATGGCAGATCCTATCGGCCTTCTGTGGTGGATTCACGGACCTGGCCTTCCACCCAGTGGGCTACACGTGGCAGATCTTCAACTGCTTCTTCACCGCCGCCTACTCGGTATACCATAACTCCTTACTGTGCCGCTGCTTCCAACCTTCGCTAGAACCTTCATTCGTTGACATGCCAAGCTCTTCGCAGTGCCTCGCCATGCGCTCTGCCCTGCCACGCTCATCGCCCCAGCATGGGCTTTCAGGCCTCACGGCTTACAGCCACTCAGCAACGCCTCTCCTGTCCCATTTCCTGTTCAAATTGTTTCATATTACCCACCCTCCCCCTTCCCTCCCCCACACCCCCCGCCAGCTAACCCTGATGGACAGTGCCGAGGCGGCTACCATTGTCGGGGTTCACAATGGGTCTGCTCAACAACGCGCTCTCCTTCCCTCCCTTGCCCCTTTTCCCCTCCGTTTCCTCCCTCTCCCCCCATCCCCTTCCCAAACCAACAGTGCAAGGTGAGGTGAGGGACAGGGTGGCACTAAGACACTTCAAATCTCCTTCCCGTCTTCCCTCCCTGGCTTCCCTTCCTTCCCAGCTAACCCTGCGCAAGGTGATGGACAGTGCCAAGGCGGCCACCAAGAGCGGGCAGCTGTCGGAGTTCACAATGGTGCTGCTCAACAACGCACTCTCCTTCCCGCCTGCCATCCTGCTCATCATCGCCTTCAGCGAAACCAAATACCTGCTTCACTCGTGCGTTGATAACTCGTGCGCTTGAGCGTTGATATCAGCCTTGCAGCCATGCCTCCGGCACCCATGAGTCCTGCACTCCACTGCATGCATGTGATCTACCGAGTTGCTCAACACCTAACCACTGCCTGCTTGTGACTATCCGTATCCTTGGCACACAACGCTGGTAGCACTGCTCACTCACCCACGCCTGCCTCATCCATGCCCCTCCCGTTCCTTCTCTGCCAGTCCGTTGATGCTGAACGGGGGCTTCTGGGTGGCAGTGACGCTGAGTGGGCTGCTGGGACTGGCCATCTCCTTCACCTCCATGTGGTTCCTGCACCAGACCTCGCCCACCACCTACAGGTACGCCCTCCGCCCACCATCTACAGGTGGGTACCATGACCACAGCATCACAGCATGTACCGTACAGCTTGCTACAGGTGCCAAATACTCCATGTGGTTCCTGCACCAGACGTTCCCCACCACCTACGGGTGCACCTCACTACCATGTGCCATGCCCATGCCAGTGCCCCACCTACAGGTGCACCAGCACAGCACACAGAGCATCATATATTCCACTTTCTGAACTCTTGCCATAGCCTCCCCATCAATCCATCCTTTCACCCAAACCCCAAAATTTCTAAACCTTTTCCCTCCAACCATGTACCCACCCACCCTGTTCCCCGCAAACCTCTGCCTCCGCAAACCGCTACCCCACACATCCCGTTGCTCCAATGCTAACACGTGTGCCCACCAACCACCCTCTGGCAGTCTGGTGGGGTCGCTGAACAAGATCCCAATCTCCCTCTTCGACATCATTCTCTTCAACGCACCCACCACCCGCACACCCTGTGCCCCACAAACCTATGGCCCCTTAACTCTATGCCTCTTCCAACCCGTGTCCCCACCACCCTCTGGCAGTCTGGTGGGGTCGCTGAACAAGATCCCACTCTCTCTCTTCGGCATCATTCTCTTCAATGCGCCCACCAACGCTGCCAACATCTCCTCCATCCTCTTCGGTGCGTGCATTCCCTCTCCCCTCTCAAACCTCTTCGGTGCGTGCATTCCCTCTCCCCTCTCCATCCTCTTCGGTGCGTGCATTCCCTCCCCTCTCCCCTCTCCATCCTCTTCGGTGCGTGCATTCCCTCTCCCCTCTCAATCCTCTTCGGTGCGTGCATTCCCTCTCCCCTCTCAATCCTCTTCGGTGCGTGCATTCCCTCTCCCCTCTCCATCCTCTTCGGTGCGTGCATTCCCTCTCCCCTCTCAATCCTCTTCGGTGCGTGCATTCCCTCTCCCCTCTCAATCCTCTTCGGTGCGTGCATTCCCTCTCTCCCTCCCAATCCTCTTCGGTGCGTGCATTCCCTCTCCCCTCTCAATCCTCTTCGGTGCGTGCATTCCCTCTCCCCTCTCAATCCTCTTCGGTGCGTGCATTCCCTCTCCCCTCTCAATCCTCTTCGGTGCATGCATTCCCTCTCCCCTCTCAATCCTCTTCGGTGCGTGCATTCCCTCTCCCCTCTCCATCCTCTTCGGTGCGTGCATTCCCTCTCCCTTTCCATCCTCTTCGGTGCGTGCATTCCCTCTCCCTCTCCATCCTCTTCGGTGCGTGCATTCCCTCTCCCCTCTCCATCCTCTTCGGTGCGTGCATTCCTGTCAAAATCCCAGCCACTAACCATTGGGATAAAAGGGCTTGTTTGTGTAGCGGGTGAGTGCGCCCATAACCCCCCAGGCCGACGTGCCTGTAACCCTTCCCTAGGATCATCGGGGATCTCCAGTGGACCTCTGACACCCCCCCCGCACTGGGATGCCCGAGGTGCACACACCGAGGATCGAACCCGAGACCTTCGCTCTGATACCATGTCAAAATCCCAGCCACTAACCACTGGGATAAAAAGGCTTGTTTGTGTAGCGGGTGAGTGCGTCCATAACCCCCCAGGCCGACGTGCCTGTAACCCTTCCCTAGGATCATCGGGGATCTCCAGTGGACCTCTGACAATTCCCCTCTCCCTCTCCATCCTCTTCGGTGCGTGCCCCACTCCCACTGCATTCCCACTCCCCTCTCCATCCTTGTCTCTATCCTCGTCACTGCGTCCACCCCCATCTTCTCCTCTATCCTCTCCACTCCCATCCAAACCCCCTCCCCTTCGTTTTCTTTGGTGCGGAACCCACTAGGCCTGCACTCTAATTGCTATCTTCATTGAGCCACTCCCCCTCACTCGATTAAAACTCTCGACTTCTATACTAGCCACTCTTGCACGGAATGAGCGGATTGCCGTTCTGGTTTCACACACAAAAAAACCACGGAATGACTGCTGCCTGTGCTTGGCTCCACACGGCATCCCTATCTCGTTCCATCTTCACATCACCCTGTATCATCTCACCCATCCACCACCTGCCTACCTTCTCCTCTCTCCAATTCCACAGGGTGCTTTGCAGGAGTGCTGTTCGCACGGGCAAAGATGCTTGGCTGATGCACCACCACCGGGCAAAGATGCTTGGCTGATGCACCACCACCACCACCACATCACTTGCCGCATACCTCTACTCCTCAGTTGCCGTTCTGCTTCTTCCCTCTCCCTCAGTTGCCGTTCTGCTTCATCCCTGCATTAGTGGGGGGGGGGGGGTACCTGTTTCCCATTCTTGCCATATGATTGGGTCTGCACTTTTCATGAATGCTCTATATTACCTGTAACCACATCAAGAAATATATGTGATACTCCATGGTTGCCACAACAAAGTTAGGGTACATTTCGCTCAGGACATGTCACAAAAGAAAGTGTCACAAACGTATTAGTGACTGCAATGTTGTGCATGGGGTGCAGGAACACCACCTGGGAGCAACGGCTGTTGGGCTGAGATAGCCCCTTAGGATCTTTTCAGGAGTAACCCTGGTAGGATAACATTGTAACAGCGGAAGCTTTGATAAAACTTGTGAATCACCTTGCGCTAGTGTGTGAGGGCAAGATAGATTGATTATAACAGGAAGTACAAGAAATATAGTAGTGCAAGGAATATCAAAGGATACAGTTATAACTACTTTTACTGTTGCTGTTGCGGTTCGATACAGTACGACTCGGGCAACTGCTCTGTAACGAGTCAGTTGTGTGTCCTTACTGTCGCGCTGTACTTGTCAGGTCAAAGGTTGCTGACCTTTGACTTTCGCGTAACCTCCAGCAACCTCTTTCAACCTCCGAGGGTTGACTCGCGGGTGTTTCGGTGTAGTTTGCCTCGCTTCTGATGCGGTGTTTTCGACACGACTGAAGCGCTTAAGTTTTATTGTTTCCAACACTCCCCTTCGCTTCTGGAGTGTCGCTGCTGATGACGTGGCCTTGTCCAGTCAGCAGCATGCAGTACTCGAACTTTTGTTTTCCAAGCTTCTTGGTCAAGTAGTCGGCTGCCATCTCAGACGTGGGACAGTACGATAGCTCGAGTCTCCCTTTCTCGATCTCGTCCTTTACGAAGAAGTAACGCAGGGCGATGTGTTTCGTCCTGTTCGCGAAGCCGTTCTTGTTGGCGATACGAATTGCTGACTGGTTGTCGCAGAACACGGTGAAGTTGGGTAACTCGGCTAACTTCGCTTCTTCCAGCAGCTCGCGAAGGTAAAGTCCCTCCTTGGTGGCTGAGCAGAGTGCGATATATTCTGCTTCGGCTGAAGATAGTGCAATTAACTCCTGCTTGCTCGACTGCCAGGAGATAGGACCGATAGGCTCGAGGCGGTAGACATAGCCGGTGCGTGAGCGCCTGTTGTCAGTGTCGCCGGCGTGATCGGCATCGACGTAGCCGATTAGCTTGGTTGGTGTAGCTGCGTTCTTGTGATAAGTTAGGCCGATCATCGCGGTGCTGATAAAGTAGTGCAGAGCGCGGTCAAGTTCCGCCAGGTGTTCTGCTTCAGGCTTCTTGAGATGAGAATGTCGCGAGCTGGCTTGCGGAGTAGGATAGGTCGGGTCGGCAAGTGACGGCTGCGAAGAGGAGGCAACCTAGCTTCCTCTGATAGTCGCGTATGCCGGCGGGCTTGAGTGGGGCAGATTCCTTATCGGCTCCTGTCGTGTAGCGGTATGGTGTTGAGATCGCGGCTGGCGTAATTCCGAATCGTTTGGCGATGGTGTCGGCGTACTTTTCGGCGCTGAGGTAGATCGCGTCGTTATCTTCTCGAATGTTAAGTCCGAGATACTGTGTGACGGTAGATGAGACAGTGAGGGTGAGGTCCTTCTGCAGCTCCCCTTCGAACCAGGTGGTGATGCCGTCGGTAGAGCCGATGTAGAGAAGATCGTCCACGTAGACAATTAGCAAGATGTAGTCGCTGTTCTTCGTGAGGCGGTACATGCCCTGATCGTGCGGGAGTTGTTTGAAGCCGATGCGGATGAGGCGAGTATGCAGGTACTGCTGCCACAGTCGCGGCGCCTGTTTGATCCCGTAGAGCGATTTTAGTAGCTGGCAGACGTGCGTGGAATTTGTGTTGGAGCCGTGCGGTAGTTCCACGAAAATCTCTGCATCGACCGGTGCGTAGAGAAATGCGTTCGCGACGTCGATTTGGCGCAGTTTCTTCTTCTTCATAGCGGCGATGGCGAGAAGAATTCGAAGTGAAGTGTGACGGCTGACCGGAGCGAAGGTTTCGGTGAAGTCTCGTCCATGTTCCTGGTCGAAGCCGCGAACGACCCAACGCGCTTTGAACTTGTCGATGGTGCCGTCGGCCTTCGTCTTCACACGGAAGACCCATTTCCCGGTAAGAATGGTCTTGTTTCGCGCTACGCCGATGGGAACGACTTTCCAGGTGTTGCGTTCCTCTAATGCCTTCAGCTCCTTGTCCATGGCTTCGCGCCATTTTTTCCTTATGCTCCCCCCCCAGAGCCTGCTGAACTGTCGCAGGCTCCTTAGGAATGTTGACGCCGTGGACCGCGGTGACGAGACCAAGGATTTGGAGTCCGCTCTGTGTGTAGCGGGGGAGTGTGGTGTCCTCGGGATAGACTGCCTCGTCTCCAGTTTCTGGATCGGGTGCGAAGTTGGGCCCTATGCGTTCTGCTTCGTTGGTGTTGACTTCAGCGGGTGTAACGTAACCGTTGTCGGCGAAGTGGTAGTAAGTTTCGGCGTTGACGCTTTCGCGAGGGTTTTCTTCGTCCATCGGTACGTCCACTGAGCAGTAGGGAAGAGGTCCGGCTTCTTCCGAGGCTCCTTCCACATTCTGCTCGTCCCAGTCAGCTTCGTCTTCTGCCGAAGCGAAGGCTCGATCGCCACGGAAGCCGCCTGTGGGGTCTCGATTTTCGTCCAGGTTGGCAAGGTACGTTGGCAGCGTGAGTCGTTCGTAGAAAATGACATCACGTGCTGCTACTGTTTCTTTTCTTGGTGTGGATGTCGAAGATTTTCCACGCGTTGTAATGTTTTTCGATGCCCAGGTGTAGTCCCCACTGTGCGCGTTGAGAGAATCGGCCGGCTCGTGCAGATGGGGGTCGGTACTGTACCATGCAGCCGAAGACTCGTAACATTTTTGTGCTGCCCAGTTTTCCTGTCCACAGCAGATGCGGTGATGTGTTGTTCGGGAGTGACGACGAAGAAAGCAAGTTGTGCAGCATCACGGCGTGGTCCATTGCTTCGGGCCACTGGTGGTTGGGTAGCCGCATGCCACGTAACAGTTTGCGCATGGTGTTCTGCAGAGTCCTGTTCATCCTTTCTGCTACACCCTGCTGTTGATGGGCGTAGGGAAGGGAGATGAGTCTCTTGATTCCCTTCTCCGCCAGGTACTGCTTGAATCGCTGTGAGAGTATTCTCCTCCTCCTCCTCCGTCTGATTGGAAACTTTTGAGCTTAGCTCCCGATTCCCGTTCTGCTGCTGGAAGCCATGCCACGAAAGCTTCGAAAGCCATGTCGCGACTTGGTAAGTTTAGGTGCCAGACGTAACGTGTAGCGGCGTCGATGAAGTGCGCATGGTGTTTCTGCAGAGTCCTGTTCATCCTTTCTGCTACACCCTGCTGTTGATGGGCGTAGGGAAGGGAGATGAGTCTCTTGATTCGCGGTCTGATTGGAAGATT